AATAAAAATTTAATTATTTTTTGAAAAATAAAAAAAAAAACATATATGAATTACAATTTAGGTAGACATTTTATTCTCGAATTTTTTAGATCAATTCTCATTCTCGAAATATAATAATATAGGGTGTCTAGAAAAAAAACACTTATATATATATATTAAATAATTATAATAACAAAAATAAATATATAATAATAAATATGTTAAATTTATTTTAAAAAATTTGTAAGAATAATAATCGCAATGTGTTAAACTTAACGGAAGAAAATGTACTACCGTCAATCGAATTTGGCGAATCTGCGTAGTCACCCAGCGACGAATCTAAATGCGAACTTAGGCCAGTAAAATCGGGAAGAGTTAAAAGAGAAAGAGAAAGAGAAAGAGAGAGAGAGAGAGAGAGGGGGACACAGTGTACCATGGTATAACCCTACATACATCGAAAAGTCAGAAAGAGAAAGACGTAAAAGTACGAAACCGGAGGGAGATCGGCTTGCAGAGAGTGAGAGAGTTCATCAACCTCATCCGGCAGGTTCTAACATAGAAAAGCTCCAAGATATGCTTTCCATTTTCATCTTTGGCGATAAGCCAAAAGTTTTCGTTTTCTTGGTATCCACCAATTCTCATCCTCTTCTCCTTCATTCGTCCTGTCATTCGTCAACTAGTAGAAACCAACCCTTTTATTTTTTTCTTTTTTTTTTTCTTTTAACGAATTATATCATAAAGAAGAAAGAAAAAAAAACATATCAATCTGTCTTGTGAACGTGACAAACGAAAAAAATAACATTTTATTTTTTTTTAGAGAGAGAAAGAATATAAAAACTGTTGATAGAAAGTTATAACCTTTTTTTTTAATAATAAAAAAATTATATTTATTTATTTTATTATTAAATTATTATTTTAATTTACTTATAATTATTTTATTTATTGCATTAATATTATTTAATTATTATTTAATTTAATTAATATTTAATTTAATAATAAATTGTATTACAAAAAAAAAACATTTTATATTTTTTTTACAGAAAGAAATTATAAAAACTATAAATAGAAAATTAAATTAATTTTTAATAATAAATATAAATAAATTGTATTAAATAATAATATTAATAATTTTTTTCTATTGTCGTATAAAGTATTTTGTTTTTAGACACCCTGTATTATTATATTTCAAAATAAAAATTGATGTAAAAAAAATTCGAGAATGAAATGAGTGTTCCCATAATCCCTTTTATGTTTCTATATATCATTTAACTTTTTGTCATGAGAACTAAAATTCTAATCGTTTATTATGTCAACGGTCAAGCTCATATTGGCAGCTGCAAAACGTCAGACCCATTTCAATTAACGTTCTTTTTTTTTTTCTTTATTTCTTTCTTTTGCTTTAAAGTATCTATCAAAATAATTACACTAGAATTTCTTTTAATAATTCTATTCAATTTATCTCAAATTTCAAATCTTAAATTCTAAAATGCTATAATAATTTTGAAGGTAACCCAAAATGTAAAATAATTCAGGTACACATTGATTTAACATTTAACAATGACAATGAAAAAGGATTCGATACGAGTTGAGTGAAAGTGACTGTTTCAGTTGAGAGTTTAAATTATATGCGCCTGCCTAAAGTCACGTTTACGTGTACTAACATACACACATACATGCATACATGAATACACGTACGTGACGTATACATGAATAATGTTGAGAGAAAGAAAGAGACACGGGCGTGTTACAAATGTAGGAATGTACGCGAGATTCTTAAAGAACGACAACCTCCTGCGAACGATGGAAAAACGGTGTAAAGGGGAGATGAGGAGGGAATGTAAGGGAAGGGGGGAGGGGGAACATGTATACGAAGTCATGACCATATTTGGGACGTAGAAATTAGGCCAACGTGCGTTGTGATCGTGAGAGAGGAGTATAACGAACTATCAAGATTTTTTTTTTTACGTAAAAAGAAAGAAATGTACAAACCAAGCATTGAAGTCTCCAAAACTTCTGTTCGTTCGCCATTGACTACGGTCGTTGAATCTCGTTTATTATTAAAAAAATAAAAAAATAAAAATAGAAAAGTTAAGAATGAATATGTGTATACATACATTGACGGATCAAATTATAATTTATTTTCTTTTTTTGTGAACTCATATATTTTAAGTATAAATAATATAATATATATGATTTAAAATGATTAAAATATGAATTAAAAAGAAGGAAATAATTAAAATAAAAAATAAATAAAAAATATATAACATATAAATTAAAAAGAATAAATAATTATAATAAATAATAAATAATTAATAATTAAAATATAAATACAAAAAAATAAATACAAAATATTATATAAAACATAAATTAAAAAAAACAATAATTACATAAAATAAAAAATCTATAAAAAATAATTAAAATATAAATAAAAATTATTTGTTTTCTTTTTATTTACTAATATTTACTTATTTAAAAATTGTTTAATTAAATAATATTATTTAACGTTATAACATTTTACTACATAACAACCTTAACCATTTAATACATCATTACAAATTAAATATCACAATCGCAATAAGACAATACTTGTCCTCTTTTATTCTATATAAAAATAAAAAAAATAAAACATTTCGTTATCTTATCTTCATTACCAATCGAATCAATTACTGGTACACAACATAAGATAACAAAAATACCAAAATCTTATCTCGTCTTTAATGATTTCAATATATCTTTTTTCTTGTCAAAGTAAAAAAAAAAAAAAGACAAAAAAAATTAATAGTATTAATAACAAAAATCAAATGATATTAAAAAAAATAAAAAAAAAATGACACTTCCTAAAAATATCAGGTAGGTGTATCACCTTCTCAAAGTATCCCCTTGTCCTTTGAACAAATCCTGCATTTCATTTTCTTGTTTTTTTTTTTGTTGTATTTTTTTTATATACACAATTTTATTTTATTTCCTATACTATTTCATTCCTTCATCTTGTTTTTCTTTTTGTTCTTGGATAGGCGGGAGTCAGTGTCGTAAGGTCGTAGATACGATAAGGTGGTAAAGGGGGAGTGAGGTTGGAGGAAAGGGTGAGGAAGGAGTAGGGGGAGGGATACATTGGCGTTGTGTGGAAGGATCACGCCCGGCACAGCTCGTATAATACCGGTTTGTTAGATTACATGAGAACGTGCAGGAGATCTCCCTGACAAAATAAGAAAGAAAGAAAGAAAAAGAGGAAGAAGAAGAAGGGTTGAAGGGTGGGAGGGAAATATGGGGAAGGGGAAAGAGAGGGATCCTCATCTTTCGACCTGTTACACGTGAACCGTTCTGTCGTTCTCTTCTACACACACACACACACACAACCTTGTCGTCTTTCACGGAACGTGATTTCATGCACACACATACACACATATTTATAGTCTTTAAGTACCTCACTTATTTACCTGTATGTATAATATAAAAAAAAGAAATATGTGTGAGGGTGGATATGATCAGAAAGAATCATCGAGAATACGTGATACAAAAGTGTATCGTTTTACGGGAAATTTATACCAAGGTTGAGATTTTTTAAAAGGATAAAAGAAGACAGAGAAAGAGAGATGTATTGGGTATATGTGCTATTTGTTAATTTAATAAATTATTATTAAATAATGTTAGTTAATATTGTTATTGTTATATGTATATATATATTTTTTTTTAATTATTTAATATTAAAATAATTGTATATCTTATTTGTTCGCTAAATTATTAGATTATAAAAAATTTTTTTAAATACACTAAACACATATCTTATTACGTGTATATATTATTACATTGATTATATTATATATATTAGATTCTCGGTAATATTAAATTCTTAGACGAATGAGTCTGCGGTAAGTGTCAGATCATTTATTTTTTTTTGTTTTTTATGGCTAACCCAATGTTGGCTCATTAATCGTTCTCACCGTTCGGCCAACCACAAACTAATCCTTCGAAAGAAAAAAATATGTAAAAATAAATAAATAAATGAAAAAAAAAACAATAGACCCATGCACCACTGCATCCTCTTTTTCTTCTACTTCTCTCTTCTCTTTTATTCTTTTTATTATTCTTATTGTATGTGGCACAGTAGAATGAGAAACTTTCGTGAGGAGAGGAGGTAAAACCCGTGCTCCTCGCGTATGCGAGTTAAATTTATCCTCCATCGTGAACGTTTCGGCGAATTCGTTTTGCTCGATGGATACCTAAAACGCTTACGGGTTTCGAGAGGACTCGGAAATAGCTATAGACTTCTTCTTCTTCTTCTTCATCTTCTTCGTCGAGCAACTAAAACTCTCCCGAAATATCTAACCACTATGATGGACTTCGAGTATATAACTTCGAGTATATTCATACTTATGTATATACATAGGTGTACATAATGGTATGCATCTATACACGATGATGATACGAGTTAACTAAACCCCTATTCACCCCCCAACCCCAACCCCCTTTAGTACATGTCGTCGTCTATACGTCAAACGCCTTTCATCTTCCTCAACACACGCTTATAGAATATATTTTCGACTCATGATCATCTTCTCCTCTTCTCTTTACGACTTTGTTTTTTTTTATTTACAATACGATTATTCGTTAGCTTTGTTCTTGGAAATATAATAGATTGATTGATATCAATTTTATTCAATTTTTATTTATTTCAATGAACTGTTACTTTGATCTAATCAATGTTTTTATTACGATTTAAATGTGTTATTTCTTTTTTTTAAATATACAGAAATGTAAAATGTCAATAATTAAATTTAGCACGTGAACCATTAACAACTTTTTAATTCAAACATTTACTCAAATTGTTTCATTCGGAATAAAATTTAAAAAAAAATGGTGCATCTCACATTGTTAATAAAAAAAGAAGTAAGAAACTTTTGAGACATCTTAAAAACGACTTTTGAGATTGATTATAATATCTATTATTGATTATTATTTTGTTAATTTTTAGTAAAATTGATAACAAACCAATTGACAATTCTAAGAATGAATTCTCTTACCTGTAATAACGCGATAACCAAACGCGTTTCTCCACTTTGCACAGCTATAGTACTTATGGTAGTAGTAGGTGTACTCCCGGTAGTAGTAGTAGTAGAATTCTGTTCCTGCGAATGTTCTTTATCCTCAGCAATCGTTCGCGAATCTTCAACAGATCCTTCCGGACTCTTGTCCATAGTCTCCCTCGTATCATTTCCGTCCACCATTTTTTCTATTATCGCCTTTTTTGTTTATTTTTTTTTTTTCATTGTTTTTTTTTAATCGACACGATGAGAACAATAACAAAAAAAAATATATACATAAATATATATACATATATAAAAAAAAATAATTGTGGTATCGATTTAGGTTAAATCCTTTTAATCGTTCGTGGTTAATTTGAACAAAACTTTGAATAATTATTTTATTTTATTAGTTAAGGTTAAAGTTAAGGTTAAGGTTAAGGACGAAAGATAACTATCAAGCTATATACCAATAAAACCACAACTATAAAATATATATAACTCTTTTTCACACTGTATGTGTGTGTGAATGTTGTATGCATATTTAAGTATATCTCTTTCACGGTTTCTTAGTTTTACACGTGATCTTTACTATGCTTTAATACTTTACTATAATATTCTACCTATATATACGCGAATTATATATTATATTCTGTATACTCTATTTTAACTAAAATTACTAAAAATTATTACTAAAAATTATTCGCGAATTGTATATTACATTTTGTATATTATTTTTACTATAAAATTACTAAAAATTATTCTTATTTTTTAATATAAATTTACTAAAAATTATTCTTATTTTTTAATAGAAATTTACTAAATATTATTCTTTTTTTGTAATAAAAATAATTTAATTCCGAAGAAAAGATAAAATAATATAAAAAGAAGAGTATATTCAACGATATTACTACTTTTACTATAAAATTACTAAGAATTATTACTAAAAATTATTAAAAAAAATAATGTAATTCCAAAAAAAAACAAATAATAATATAAAAAAATATAAAAAGAAGAGTATATTCAACTATATACCTCTTGAAATCTCGGAGACTTTAACGCCCGCACAATTAAAATGTCAGAATCGAAAATACTAAAAGCTTTAAAAGTTTCAATTCGTTATATATATATATTTTCTTTGACGAAATTCAAAATGATGTTCTCTTAGACTTGGTTCCAGCGATTAACATTAATTTTGGCAACAAGCCAAGTCTCGTTCGCGCGAATTTCGTGATACGGAGGAAAGGGTGAAAGGGGCAGGGGTTTGATACACGAGCACGTTCTATGTATGCATACGTGCATGTAAGAACGTGTGTTCTTCTCATCGCCTACGAAAGAATGTTCTTATTCGTGTAGAATATAGAATGTGCTATGTGTATCCCTTAATCATAGCGTTTAAAATAGATATAAGCCTAATCTTATATACTCAATCTAAAAAATCTTATTCGAATTCGTATTTTTTTCGTTTAAAATTTGCTTTTTGATTCTTCTGAGATTCTTGATTCTTTTGGGGAGAAGAGAATGGGGAGGGAGAGGTTCTTTTTCTGTTTAATAATAAAAACCGTGTTTAAAGTACTCGAGTTAACCCTTTGAGTGCAGAATACTTTTAAAATGTTTTGTAGAAACGAAATAATTTATTATTAATTACATTGTAATAATAAATTATATTTAATAAAATTTGTCTTTTTGAATGTAATTTAATTTCATTAATATGAGCATTACATTATTTTACATTAATATTAACAATATTATAATAATATATAATAATTATAATAAAATATTATAATATGCATCTATAGCATTCTAAGGGTTAATTTTTCTCTCTCGTGATGTAATTGTATGAATCATGGATGAAAGATTTCATGAATAAAATCGATTAAAGCTTGCCATATATACATACAACATTCGATTAACTAATATACTAACAAACTAACTTCGTTATGTTTATACATTATGGGTATCTTTCTAGAGTGACGTCACCGACACAGACGAACGAATGGGAGGATAAAACCGGACTGACTGGTGGCGTTCTCCGAACGAGAGAAGTACACTACATCGAAAGCTCTCTTTCTCTGATCGTACGACTATCTTTGAAAGAAACTTAAAAAAAAAAAATTATTCTTTATCCTATTCGCGATATAGTTAGTTGCATCGATATTTTGACTTGAAAAGAAAATAAAAATAATAGTGATAATGATAATGAGATGTTGAAAAAGAATAAGTTAATTGTATTTTCAAAATAGAAAGAGGATCTGTGTGAGGATCTGTGTGAGGATCGTATGCGGACTTATCGTAAGATATGCTTTAACGAACGCTCTTCTGTTTAACGACCGGAACGTTACGTTGGATGCATACAAGTAATTGCACGTAATCTAATAATTAATATTCATGGGGCGTCACTGATTAATTAAGACCGCTGTCTCATTATGTATATATATATATATATATATATATATATATGTATATGTATATAAGAAGTTATTCAACTGATCGCAAAATATAATAGTGTATTGGTTTTAACGATCATATTTTCTCCCCCTCGATTTTTTATTCCTTTGGTCTCTTATCATTTATATTTATATTACTGAACTGTCATGTATATCAAAATTTATTGAATACATGGGGTGGGGGAATACTATTGAAGAAACTAACAAATCACGAATTAAATAAAAATTGAATTAATCATTGAATTAAAATAAATTTGTTTTGGCTTCAAGGTTTCGTTTTGCGTAATTTGTTGAATAATTTGTTATAAATGCATTTAGTTGAAAATAATAATAATTATTTGTTTTTTTGCCAAAGAAAAATGAAGTCAGTGTTTTAAAGTCCTTGGATTAAAAATGATGCGAGATGACACGTGACTTGTTTTTAAACGTGACACAAATGTTGAGTTAGGCCCGTATGGAAATTTAATGATAATTATCTTTTTACTTGTTTGTAATTTACTTTCTATAAAACGGTACAAATAAATAGCTCACGTGTGTAAGAAACGATTAACGGGATTGGATCCAAATTTTCACTTATGTCTCATTTATAATTTATTATGTAAAGAAAAACTTATATATATATATATATATAACAACCTGTGACAAAATAAAAATAAACTCGATTATGACATCAACGGTATATTTAAAAATATTGTATAATTTCTACTAATTAAGTAATAAAAATATGACAACACAACAACAAAATAATTAAAAAAAAAATCTAAAATAAAATAATAAAATATTAAAAAAAAGAAAAGAAAACAGAAAGAACAAACACGATCCGAACGAGAACCACAATCGAAATTATTTTAAAATATTTTTAAAATTTTTAATGTATTTAATAAACGTTCTATATAAATGATCAAAACAAAAATTTCCTTTTTATACATAAATTAATATCAAATGTTAGTAATATTATTTTAATTCAATGTATTTAATAACACGCAAAAAAATATATCGAGAATCACCTAAATCGATCCACGTTCAAGCCACAATGTCGATAATGTTAACACACTCGTGTGACACATGTCACGAACACGTCACGTCACCGATAGATCTAACACGGAGGCCGAGTTGAACCGAGACTAAAAGACCCGAACTTTTCGAACGTCTTCAAAGCTATAGTCGGGAACCGAGCGCTCCCGATCGTTGCCGATTATCATCGAAGATCACCCGAACGAATACGACGACCCACGACGGCGCCGAATTTAAACGAAAAACGTGTACTCTTATAATTTAGCATTTTTTCTATAATAATCATGATTAAAATTAATTACTTACCTTTTATATATATATACTCATGCAATAATAAATCACAAATAATTCGTGCATAAACAAATACAAATTCAATAATACAAATATTTATAATAAGATACTTTATTTACAAAAAAAAGTAATCATTATTTCATGCAATACACACCGTTTTAAATTGTTCTGTTATAACGCGTCCCAATTATAAATTTTTTCAATTAGAGTCATTTTTTAAATTTGTAATATTTATATTACTTGAGATCGTATACGATTCATGCCCCTTCGTTTAGAAAAAATCGTCGAGAACTGACACAACCACGTAAATGGCATTATCAGTTACATAATAAAATATATATTTATGTATTAACGATATCTATTTTGTCTCGTTCAATTTTTCGATATCTTATATCATTCGTAAATGATTAAACTTTAGAATAAAAATAAATGTAAAACTTATCACACACAATCGGATTAATCAGCTTGGATTAGCTAAAGGCATACGACGTCGATTCTCATTTGCCAAAGTAACAGATGTTATTTCGGCAAATTTTGAGATACCGGAAGTCGTAACGTCGTAAACAGCGAAGCATGCAGCTTCGTGTGCACAACTGCAACTACAGCAACCGATCGAAGAATTTTGATCAACGTTTTGGACGATATCCTCGATCGAGCGACTCACCTTCCTAGCATTTTCCAAAAACTCCTCACCATCGAGATCATCTTTATCTCGTTTCGTTGGTGACATCTCGATGCCACTATCTTCGTGTTGTCTCGCATATGTTTTAGTAATCGAACAAACATTTTTCGTTTCTTTACTAATAATTTGCGATTTTTCTTCGTCAATTGTTACTTCCTTACTCGTTGTTGAATAAATCGGAATTTCCTTCGATTCCTCTTTAGGAAGCTCGGATGAATCTAAAAAACACATTACATAAATTATACTACATTATACTACTTTTCAAAAAATAAAATCGCTAATATGATGAAAAATTATTAATAAAAATAAAAAATAAAAATTCAACGTACCTTTTTTGGCAGAAGTGACATCGATATCATCTCGATCGATACCATTTAATTTCGTATTCTCATCTTCGATTAAAATATGATTCGAATCTTGCATCTTCTTGACATCAACATTTTGTCTATGATCTTCCAACGTGTTAGAGGTAACTTTATAAGAAGCTACCCCTAAATGAGTGTCATGTGAGACACGTAAAGTAGTCGTTTCTGTGACCTCCTTTACGATCTTTCCAGATTTCTCCTGCGATAAACGAGATATTTTTCTTGCTACTTTTAAAGTATTTAAAAATAGAAACATCTGCGATTAACTCTTACCTCAGTACTCTTTTCAATGGTAACGATTTTTCCTATAGGTAGCAACCCTGGTTTTTCTTCTTCATCCATTTTCGAACTTTGCAACGATAAATCAGATTTTTCTATTTCAACTGGTATTATTATTTCCGTATCTTTTGATTCTTCTTCCGATTTCCACCTAAATTTGTTCAACAATAAATAATTTAGTTATTACAAAATTTTATAAATAGGTCAACGTTCAATATATATTTATATAATTTATTTATTAAATTATTAATAGATAATTTATTAAATATTTAAATATATAATATTAATTTATTAATATATAATATATAATTTTTTATTTATTTATTAAATTATATTTATATACTATATTTATTATAATATATTTAAATTAAATTAAAATATTAAACATATAAAAAATATATATTTAATAAAATACATTTTTTTTATAGATTTGTGTCTCTCTTTTCTCCAACACAAAATACCAAAAGTGGTTAAAAATATTTTTTTTTTAAAGAAAAAATCATTTTTAGTTCTTACCAAGCTGAAGTAGGAGAGGTTGTTGGTATTATTGGTGAAACTACATCTTCACATTCCGGAGTTGTCACGAAAGATTCACTTCTAGATCTTGCCGTAGGCGTGATCGAACATTCCGTAGCTGTCACGTAACCGTCAACATTGACATCCTCGTTCGTGCTCTCTTCGTTCAATTTTTCAACGTCCTCCTAGTAATAAGATAACATTTCTATTATTTTCAAAATTAATTATTACAAAATGAGACATGTGTAGGCTTTCAAAAATTTGTACAAATAATAATTGAAAATCATTTCAAATTTGTATTGGAATAAATTCAATGACCGAGATAAAAATTCTTCAAAATTCCAATTAAAAAAAAAAAAAGAATGATCTAAATAATAATTTTTTAAAAGCACAAATTTTTTACAACCCCTATCGTAACTTTAATCATTATTGCAATATTCAGCTTATGATAATAAATATAATTTTGTGAAATGTTAATTAAATAATAAAATAAAAAGAAAATGTTAACTCAATAATACTTGTTCCACCTTATAACACTGGTTCTTTAATTAATTATTAACTTACGATTTCTTTTTTTTCAGCGACATCATCGGTGATCATCGACGAGGTATTGGAAGCCATCATCGATGGAAAACTACCAGTAGGAACGGACGAAACTGCCGATGAAGTTTTAGTATCTTCAACATGCGAAACTACTATAGCTCCAGACGACGACGACGAAGACGACGAAGACGTAGTAGATGATAATAATCCAAAATTAGAAACAGTTAAATTGGAAACATCGGCGGCAGCGTCGGCAGGGTTTGCACTGATCGATGTTGAAACAAAATCGTTTGAAGAAACAAATGTCGGAATTGTTTCACCGATAGATGCAGCAGTGATTGATGAAGTTGTCGTAGTAGTCGTAGTGGATTTAGTTAAAACAATTGGAGATGAGATACGTGCTAATGTAGTAGTTGTTGATGTTAAAGTTGAAGAAATTGGTAATGCCGAAGTTGATATTGGTACTGGTTGAGTCCTTGCACCAGCTTCACACAATTTTGCATCCAGTTTCTCAGCTAACCGAGTTACTTCTGCCAACTTAGCCGAAATTGCTTCGACCGCTGTTAGGTTAGCGGCTTTACTCGAAGCATCATCGGCTTCTGACATTCTACAAAGTGATAAATATCATGTTTATGTTATACTTTGGCTTGGTATAAAAAGATTTTACTGCGTCGTATGTTCTTTTTAAGTTGCGCCTAGAGAAAAAAAGAAAGATAGAATGGAATAGAAAAGAAAAATAGTTTCGTGTCATTTTTCAACGAGTTGATAAATAGATATATAAATAGGATACCCTAAAAAAAAAATATATATATATATATATATATATATACTAACTTAAGTTATCTAATATAAAATTGTTCATATATATAATCATATAATAATCTATTTGCAAGATAAACATATTAATAATATATGTTTTTTGTTTTTTTTTTAAATATATATATAATATTTAATATATTTATAAAATTATATATTATTAATTTTAATATTTATTAATAATATTATTTTAATATTATATATATATATATGTTTTTGTTCTTTTTAACAACTAACTATTAGATAAATATATATATTAATAAAAAAAACTATTGATATATAATTATCTATATATAAATGATTTTAAAATAAATTAAAAAAATTGAACTCTTTGAAGAAAATACGGAAACAATTCCGATTACCCCCTCTCTAATCTCCCACCCCCAATTTATCGAATCTGTTTTCATTGATATATTTAGATAGGCCAATACTGACTAGGATAAAACGTCAAATTTTAGTGATTACGTAAGAAATACGACGAGGACAACAGTGACAGCCCGCCATGATGGCGCATCCTCGCGGCCAGATGGTTATTCCAATGTGGAACGAAGTTCTAATTTCGGGGGAACAGATACGACGTCTGCAATACCACCCAACTATACTTATATCTCAATCGTGTGCCATTTTTATATCTACACGCCATAAATTTATCCTCTTTTCCATTAGGTTACAAACCAAAAAACAAATATTTTAAAATGATATTAAAGATTTAAATGTCAACGTTTATAGTTTCGATCATTTCCCATCGTTCATTCGATTTTATGGAAAAATGCCAATAAAAGTTGAAAATGTGTGTGTGTGTGTGTGTGATCATAATATAATAATCTATTTGTAAGATAAACATATTATTTACAAAATTTGAAATTATTTTATAATATTTTTTTTATAAATTTTTTATATAACATTTAAATATTTTAATATATTTATAAAATTATATATTATTAATTTTTATATTATTTATATTTATATAAATATAATATTAAATATATTATATAATGTTATATTATATTATATAAAATAAATAAAAATAAAAAATAATATTAAATATATTATTTAAATATATAATATATTTATAAAAATTGGCAACCAATATTTTACGAACATAATTCTAAATTATTTGGCTACAATATAATTCGTAAAACAATATGATATATATATAAATATTGTATAAATCATAGAGAAATGAAGTAGTATTAGAACAAAATAAGACAAATTAAATTCTGACACTCGGTTGAGTTATTTTTTGACCATGACCGTCCTATGAAATAGAACGTGTATATATTTCTATGAATACTGTTCTTGAAATGTGTTAACGACGCGCGACTGTCCCATATTCGTCGAGCCAAGAACATATATATGAGAAACATCAAAAGCTAGTTAGAGTTAATGGTACACGTGTTTGATCTAATTCACACGAGAATCTCTTTCAAGTGTCTAAAACAATTCTAACATATTCAAACTAATGTTGCTTAAATGTATTGTAACAAATGTTGAATAATTTCACACATAAAATATTCGATAACAAATGAAAGAAGGGAGAATGGAACAGTGTGAAATTGAGGTTTAAAAAAAAGTCCAAAGACATTTCGTTAGGTTTGATGTAACTCACATGAAACGTTCATAAGATGTTGCTATCCGTTCGACGATCAGCCATAAACTGACACACCCGTCTCTCTAAAAAACGGAGCTAACCGCCAACTTGGACCAACCACCCCGACTCCCATCCCACCCCCCTGATCCCCACATCATCTTGTGCCTCTTTCAATTTATATTCAATTTTATCTTTCTCGGCCACTTAAGTTTAAGAAAAGTCGTATAAGAATAGTACCACGTAGAACTACCCCCAAACAGGTTTATTTAATTAACCTAATTGCACGATCTTTGAGGGTTTATGTTTTCTGTTTTTTTTGGGAGGGGGGGGGCTAATGACACCGAAATATTTTTCTTTTTTGTTTAAAGAATAAGTTAACACTTTGACTATTACGTTGGTCATTGGTTATCAGAATGTTTGAACATTTTACAATTGTAATAGTTGAATGAAAATTAACATTAATATACATTTTTGAAATAAACAAAATGTGTCATTGAACACTTACAAATTTTAATTGGAACACGTTGAAAATGAAAGATTAATTTCTATGAAATCATCTGAATAATAAGAATACAATTGTTAAACATGTGATTTTAGTGTGACAGTCAAAGTGTTAATAATAATTGTAATTTTACGAATCGTTGATTCGTTGTCGTACTTGCCGTTGATGGCACACAGGTTCCTTCAATCTGGTCCTCAAAAGACGTCCCAATCTAACCATGCGACCAACATCCAATAAAAGTTTTTCTCGATCACCCAATATATCTCTTATCTCAGCTCTTGCACGACACTCACTAACAAAATCTTCATTTTTTCTTGCACGTCTTAAAGATCCAACTATGTCGATCAAATCTCGTAATTTTGAACAGTGCTAAAAATTTCATTGAATTTTATATAAAATATTATTATTTATTATAACTCAAGTTTAATATTTCATCATTTGATTTTGATAAAAAATTACATACATCTTCAACACTTCTATGAAAAACTGCACACACACGTAGTCTGATTAATTGTTCTTGACCAGCCAAACGTAATTGTTTCCAAATTTGACGTAATCTCATTAACAAATTAACGTTGTTGTCCATTGGTAATCTGCAAGACAATCTCAAAACTCTAGCACCGTTTATCAATTGACAACCATATTCAAAAGTACCCTGTAAAAAAAATTACGATGACAAAAATTTGTTTAAACAAACATTTAACAAGTACACATATTTGTAACTTACCTGAGCAGTTGCTTGAAATGATTGATGTTGTTCTTTTTGTGATTGTATTTCACTGGTGTTACATCCAACTTCCATCAAATTTTGAAATAAAACGTTGAATAAATCGTTTAACCATTTAACAGCCTACAAAATATTATCCCCACCATAAATATAGAATTAAAATACAATAGAACTTTATGTAAATGAATTTTGTAAATTATGGTTTACCTGTTCAGCGTCATTTTCGTATGTATGTATTAAAGAAATTTGTTTCAAAGTTAATTTCTGTAATTCTACACTGTCATTAAAAATATTTTTCCTAGCAATGGTTGCATCCAAAATATCACGTACATTGACAATATCTTCTCCATAATCAACATGAACGTCTCTTCCTAAAGCATCTTTGACAGGCATCGATAAAATGTCAGAAAGTTTTTCACCCTCTTTCACAAGTTCCTGTTCTAACTCTTCTACAAAAAAAAAACAACAATTAAAATTATTTATGTTTGTTTATAACACAGAATTATAGATGTTTGTTTATAATGTTATTCAAATTTTTATAATAAATAATAATAACTTGCATATATAATTTATATATGTATTTTATATAATTATATTAACTTTATATAATTATTATAACTTTTATTATATAAATTAATATAATTATATAATTTATTATATACAAAAATATAATATTATATTATATTTTATTATAAATTTATATTTATATTATGAAGTTATATTGCACATTATTATAAATATATAATTGTTATTAAAACATTCTTACAAATTTAAAATAACACCCACCCCCTTTCTATGATTTTATAACTAATTAAATTTTGTATTAACTAACTAATTAATAAAATTAATTAATTTATTATAATAAAAAATGACTATTAATATACCTATTACCTAATACTAATTACTTTTATACATTTCATCATAATTTCATAAAATTATATATATATATATATATATATTTACCCAGTGCCAATTGATTCTTTTCCAGCATGAGTAATTTCAAACTTGCTTGAGAGAAATCATGAGTCGTATTTGTCATCACCAGCTTGTCAAAAACTTCACTCGTCTTGTCAAAGTACTAATTTACAAAAAAAAACAACAACAACAAAATAAAATATTTTCTCCTTTTCTTTATCACCAAATGTTTATTTCTAGAAGCTTACTTCGGATACAAGCCTGAAAAATCTCTGACAAGTTATGAGAACATTTCTACGTCTTTCCAATCTTGATGCAAAACTACGACAAACAAAATCCATAAAATCCTTTTGTGATTTTAAATCTTCCGGTAAATGACCTGTCGGTAAACGATCAATCTTATGAAGCAACTCAGCGTAACGACCATAGGTTTCCTGAAAGAAAATAATTATTCAAAATTGCGAATAGAAATCATTTGTTTATTTATAAGTTATATTTTACCCTGCATTTTAATTCCAATTGTTCGTGTTGTCTTCTAAGATCATCCGAAGAAACAACATCAAAACCAATTTGATAAGAAGAATTCAACATGGCGTCGGCCGGTCCCAAAATCCACTCCGTTACTTGTGAAACACCTTTTTCAAGTTCGTCTATTACTTTTACAGTATCCAAACTTCTTTCCATTTGAGTCCAACAATTTTCAATGTCCACCTTTATAATTAAAGATTATAATACATTAATTGTCAATAATTAAATTTGTGTTTGTTTTTAAAAAAACCATCGAATTAATGTCGACGTATAATTTTAATTTATTTTAATTATTTATAGAATTGTTTAATTACCTGCTTTAATTCAATGGAATCGAGAAGTCCGTGTATTTTTTTAACAGTGTCCAAAGAATCTCTGGATGAATCCCTGCTCATAGTGTTCACTAAACTCCTACCTATGTAAAATAATTGTTTTTTTATTTTTTATAACAAATAACACACGTTTTATTAAACAAAAAGATTAATAAAAATGAACCTGAGTTAAGAATACGAGAAGCAACAGATGTAAGTTCCATTCCAATTTCCCAATAAGATTCTAAATCATCGTCAGATTGTCTCATGCGAATCCCATCAAGGTTACTCAATCGTTCATGTAAATTTGACATTTTTGATAATAATTCTAAACCATCTTTCATACATTCTTCAACTTTCTATAAAAAAATCTCGATAAATGAATGAAGTAATAATTTAAAAAAAAAACCAAGTATAATCATCGTACCAAACGTTTTTGAATCCATTCCGTGTGATCGTAAAATTTATTACCACACAAGTCATACGGTAATTGTGAAAATTCAATAAACGTGTGTAGTCTTTCAACTGTTACATACATCGGCTAAAAAAAATTATGAACATATTATAAATCCATTCTTGATTCAACTAATTAAAATAAACTATCACTAGAAACAAGGAAGTAAATACTTGAATAAATTTATTACAGGACTCTCTTTTTGAGGTAAGTTGATTAAAGAAAAAGTAGTAGTTGTTGTTAATTCATAGAAAATACAAACCTCGCTATCCTTATAAGACTTGGTACAACTATCAACACGTTTGTCCCAGAAGCCATCTGGCCGTATAACGAACACGGAAGTTGCACGACTTCCTAGAAGCATCACCGATAACCTGATGCAGGATCTTGCAACTCGCCATGCTCGATAACGTGCATCTATTATCAATACTAGACCACCTTTCTTTGTACCTTCACTATAAATGATTTAAAAGATAAAATTATTAAACTTATAATATTATAAACTATTAAAATTATAAATTTATTAACACGTTGAGTGCCATGTCAGTCATAAGTGACTGACATTGAACTTCCCTTAGGCCGAATTCGCGTGGCGCTCAATGTGTTAAATTATATTTATTTAATTAAATTAATATTATATTAAAATATAATATAATATTTAATAACTTATTAATTTACTTTAAATTTATCTCAATTAAAAATTATATTAATTAATTATTAAGCTTATAATATTATAAACTATTAAAATTATAAACTTATTCAATTTATATACTAAAATAAAAATATTATACGAAATAAAATGATGATACTAATCTAAAACTACCCTCTTTTACAACGAGATCCAATTATATTTTAATCAAACAAATAATCGATGTTATCAATCGATTACCTGAATATTGATAAGAAGTATAAGATGACCGATTCCAAGCGTGGTTTCGTTGTCGGTTGTAGTTCATTTGGGACGTTAATTATTATCAAAGGACGTCCCTCACGATCACGTCCACCAGGAAGATAAGCGAGCTTTGATTCAAGAGCACCAAGGACATCTGTTTCCAAACCCTTCGTTGGCATTTCTTCTAACGTTTAACAAATTACCGATTAAAAAAAAACAAATACTTTTTTTTTTTACTATAATAAAATCATTTCAATATTTGTTCATTCAGATAAAAAAAGAAATAAAATGTTACTTCACAACAACAACAACAAAATAAATTAATCTATTTCACACGGTACGATGATATTTCACTGTTACTGCAGTGATAGTTTCTCTTTGTACAACAGCACGGTGACATACTTCAAATACGCTCACTCGCAATGCAAGAAGAAAGTATCGTAAAGTATGTTAGGAGGTATTATATTATAGCTATCACATCGGTTAACCGTTTGCAAATTGATCGTCTTTAAAACTTGTTGTAGAAAACTTGTAACATGAATTACAATTATGATACCATGTCATGCTCGATAAACTTGATACTAAATCAATTAGTTCAACGAAACCGAAATCATACACTTACACGTAACTATCGTAATAACTTAAAAATTATGATATATATACATTTCTTTTAAACGAAGATCAAAAGAAAAAACCGATATGTTTCCTTGCATTATAAATTTCATTGAAAAAAAAGAAAGTGTATAAAATTTAATATACCTGATAACTCGTCGGCGTAAATAACGTTCGATCCGATCCGAAGTAACAACACCAGAATAACACATTTCACTATTACTTAACAGATATTAGAATAAAATTTCGTTAAAATGATAGCAATCGGATAAAACCGGCAGCTGTATTAACCGCCTCTACATATGTAAGAAGTGCACCTGCAAGTGCACGTGGTTCTTGAATGACTCGAATGCTCCCGCGCTCGAAACATACACATATACACATACATAAACCTTTTAAACACTCTTACCAGAGTGTTTTACACTTTTGAAATAGGGTAACGAAGTTAAACAGAAAAGAAGGGTACGAGAAAATGAATTGGAGGGAAAAAAGTAATTATGGTTGTCAAGGAATTATATTATGTGCTAGAATGTTTAATCAAAATGTTACATATAAAGTGATGATAACAGAGAAAACTTGAAGGAAGGGGAATTAAAGGAAAGCCACAGCTGGAACACACAATTTTAAAAGAAGGTTGTTGCAGCAACAACCGTGAACGACGACGGATGCTGTGTTAAGGAAACCAAAAGCTTATCTCTCTCTCTTTCAAGTTCCATTCAGATCCAACGGTACTCTGGCACCGATTGACCGTCTCTCTACACCTTCCCCACCTTCTTTTCCTTTTCTCCTCCTTCTTCTTCTTCTTCCTTTTTCTCCTCCTCCTCCTCCTCTTTCTCTTCTTTTCAACGGGGTGTGCTGAAATTGTATGCAAATAAAAGGAGGATGATGGTACGCAACGGTATACCCAAATACTACTCTCTCAAAAAAAAAAAAAAAAAAGAAATATTATACAAGATTTTTAACCACATGTTCTCCTCAAATTATTTTTTCCACATTCTTTCAAACAAAAATATTCATTTCGAATTTTATTTCGTTATTATAAACGTGCCCCTGGGAATTATAACTTTTATGTGTTGATAAACTAATATAAGGGGACCGAAAATATATTTTATATTATAATCAGGATTGTTTATAATTTAAAATAATATTCATAAAGTATAAATATTTTTCTTTCTATTTATTAAACACGACTTTATTAATTACCGGCACGATTATCTATTTTTTTTTAATGACGTGTTGAATACTCAATCATTCTATTTTTACTATATATATATTTTTTATATTATATTATTATTACTATATGCAATAAAAAAATACATATATAAATATAAATTTAAAATATATGCATTACTCGGTCGTCGCATTTTTATATACAAAGTTCTTTTTTTTTCATATGTAAAATAATAAAAATTAAAATAATTATAGAAATAAGGAGTATAATTTGAATTTACTTGGAATAATATGTTATAGCTATTACGAACGACCTTTCATTCAGAAATAACTCTGGAAAGTTACAATGAACTTTGATGCCGGATTGCGATTTGTACGTGAAAGTTTCTCCGAGTATACATATGTCCTCTCTTAGATCAGATCAACGGAGATATCAATAACGGAGAACGCTCTATTACACCGTTAAAATTTTTCCGTATTCTATTCTACCCGTATTTATTTCTTTTATTTCTTATTTTGCATAAAATAACACACATAAGAACTTGACAGAAAAAAAGATATTTCTTTTTCGTGTTTTTTTTTATGACCCAGCTAATTATATTAACCGATAATTATGACAATGAACTAATTATAATTAAAACAAACGATTTTTTTTTATTAAAATTTTTAAATTAAATCTTAAATTTAATATTTTTAATTATTTAATTCACGATTAGTGTACATTGTCATAATTATTTACACATATGCAAAAGCCTAATGAATTTCATAGTGAAATTAATTAAAGAATTTTTTAAAACTCTGTGCATTCTGTATTCTGTAATTAACGTAAATTGAATATTTTTAATTATTTCGAATTTATATTTAAATATTATAATGTAAATGTCAGGGTATGTTTTTGTAAAATTATTCTATATATATCAAATAATGACATTTTATTATAACTTTGTGATAATTAATAATTTTGTTATTTCCTATAATAGCTTTGTTTTTTTTTGTTTTTTTTTTGTAATTAATTTAAAGCTCTTGTAAAAAGTTTGGAGACTCTCTCTCTCTCTCTCTCCCTCTTTCTCTCTCTCTCTCTCTCTCTCTCTCTCTCTCTCTCTCTCTGTCTGTGTGTGTGTGTGTGTGTGTGTGTGTGTATGTGTGTGGTACATGGAAATATAAATAATATCTTGTGGATATATACACATTTTAAATAGAAAACGCTTCATATTTCTAATTACATATTTAAATTAATTTCATACATTTGTTATTTTTTCTTATTTAACGTTATCGCAATATACAGAATTATACGTTCTTCAACTTGTTCAAAGTAATATGTTATAACTATTAGTTATAACAAAGGTGAAAAAACATCATGAATCTAAAAAAGTAATCTATTGTTTTATTATAGATATTCTTAATGAAATAATCGCATATATACAGAGACAATAAAACTAAAATTTTTTAAGATATGTATACAAAAATTATCTTACATAAATGTATACACATTTGAACAATGTTAAATAACATGCATACATCAGTGCTCGAATATTCATTTCTCATATTTATCGTTCACGACATTAGGTATATATATACATATATAAATATAAGTTTAAAATATATATTTATATATATATTCCTATTTGTTCGATCCATTCCTATATCTTTGTCGTAAATATTCTTCGTTTAAAACTGTGTAATTTTTAATACATCATGTGTACAGAAGATACTATTCAATTGATTTTTTTTTCTTTACTTTTTTAAGAAGTAAAAGAAGCATTTTTGTTTGAAATAATATCATTAAATACTATGAAATTTAATACAGACATTGTACGAGAAAATATTTCATAATAATCAACTTTTATAGGAGAAAATCAATCAACCATTATGTGCTGTTCCATTGTATAAAAAAAAAATTAGAAGACATTCAAGAAAACTTAATCGCATTTAACATCAATTTTTTATAAATAAAATATTAATTTTATCTAGAATCAGTGGACTATACAAATTGACTGGTGCTTGCAATACTAATGTCAAGTAAACGCCAAGCAGCTTTTGGATTGAGTTCCATTGGATCACGACATAATACCCAAACATAATTAAAGCGCATCACTTTTTCAGGATCTCCTTCTACCACGTTATTATCTTTATCTCTTATACAGAAAATTTGTTGACTTAGAAATGTTATCAATAAAACTGGACCTTGTTCCATCATTTTACCCATTCGTAGATCTACATTTTCAATGTCTGAAAATAATGAATATTTGTATTATAAACTAATCACAAATTGTATTAAAAATTATATTTGATTAAAAGATTATAATCATACCTAAAATTTTATTATCTAAACGATATCCCAATTTTTGTGCTAATACAATAGGTTGTGATAATAAATTATATGGTGCCTGATGACACCAATCCTTTAAAATTTCTAAATCTCCTCTAACCATCGCTTCAAGTATATTTGGTATAATATCTACTTCACAATCTCTCAAAAATTGATTTTTGTCAAAGCTTGGATCTAGCTTACAAATTTCTGTTAATGTTTCAGACAAATCTGTATTTCTAAACATACCACCAACCATGTCACTAACTTTCTCCGTAAAAAATCTAGAAGCACGAATTACAGGATTTTCTGATTCGTCATACTTGATTTTCCAATCCAATACTTTATTCATATATGGATTGTTATCCTAGTAATAAAGAATAATAATTAATAGAATTAATTAAAACACATAAATAAACAATTATTAAATGAGATAAATACCTTAAACTTTTGCCAAGATTGAAAAAATTTCGAATCTTTATGTAATTCAACTCCTAGTGCTTCCATATTAGGTTTAACTTGCTTTTCATCTAAAGATACTTCTGCTACTTCTTTTCTTTTCCTTAATTTAGTAAGTGGTACGTAAACTCTTCCTGCATTGAATAATACAATGATAAAATAAGTATAATCTTTATTAAACATATGTGTTAATAAATGATCAATATAAAACCTTGCATTCCATGGTGATCTAATTCATCGCGTACAACTTCTGCTGTCTGTGAGATTGTTTGAAAAGCTCCTGTTTTTCCAAGTGCTTGACTCTTTTCAGAAATCGTTTCTGCTGCTCCTTTCGCCGATTTAGTTATTTCCTCACCTATTTGTCCTGCCTTTTTACCTAATTCAGATTTACTTGCTTCCTCGATGACTTCTTGTACCTATCGAAAAGAAAGATCAACATTATTAGAATAAAATTAGATAATAAAAAATTAAACATATAAATATTGTAATTAGATAATCATTAATTAAATATAAATATACTTTTTCTTTTAAAGTGTCCAATTTGTCTTTTATAACTTCGGAACTTCTGGAAGCTTCAGATTCCACTGCTTGAAATTTCTGTCTCGCTGAACGTAATGCTTCGGACTGTTCTAATTTCTGTGCCTCTTCACGAAACTTCTTTAATGATTCCTTCATTTCTTTATTTTTCTGCATTTCTTGTTTAATATTTTCAACAAATTGAGTAAAGAAACTTGGTCTTCGTGCAGGATTTGAATACCAACGAATCTAAATAAACATATATTATTTACTTATATATAAAAACCAATAACTTTGTTGATCAAAAAGAAATAAACTCACCGATGAATTTTGTATATCTGGTAAATGATAACAGGTTGTATGTAGTAATGGATTACGTGATAAAGAATTTTCTCTTGAGCCATTTCTAAATCTTCTTTGGGACTGTGTGGAGCGAGCAATACCCACTAAACTAATCCTGTATGTCACGAAATTCTGAAACTATTAATAATAGAAAATTTGTTTAAAAATGTCCATATTAAATATAATTATTAATAGATAATTTTCATATATGAATCATCATATACATGTGCTTATATATATGTATGTACTTTTTAATTTTAACTAACAAGCATAACATAAAGATATATACATATGTAAGTAGTTTTACAAATAATTAATAACATTTAAAAGTTATAAAACATTATATTTTTTTCTTTTTTTGAAGGTAACATAAAATGACGCAATAAAATAAGTGAGTACCACGAGAGGCATTCGACAAATTTAACCTCACTTGCACAATAAAAAGCCGATAGTTTTCTTCTACAAACACGTGAATATAATTGATTCGTTAAAAAACACATTAAACACACAAATATAATCACATTCTTATATTATGAAGTTAACGTTTAGTTAGAAATTAGAATTATTTACCATTTTACAAACGATTTAATAATTACAGCCTAAGCGAAAATCTTAATCATAGTCGCGAAGTGAGATTGCAATAAGTTTCACTATTTTGCCACTAGATGCAGCCAGTGGTGCAGCATAGTGATGCCAGGACGTGGATTTTTCCTACGCATGCACAATAATCTCTACGTATTCTTGTAATCCTCAGTGACATATATACTTCGCTCTAATATAGGGTATCACTAGATCCCCGTAACAATTAAAATACGGTAAAAATTACAAGAAGACATTTTTAAAACAAATAACATATTTACATTACAATTCAATATATTATATAACATTACGTGACTCACATTCACTTTAACGAAAAATGCGAGAAACATCTAGGAAGGGCTCCTTACGCGCACCTACTGTTACGTATAGATACGTCCATGCAAACAGCTGCCGTCGAGCTGCGCATCAGCATGCGCATGCGCAAGAACGCCTCCACGTGGGAGGCATCACTAGTGTAGCATTAATGTCATTTCTCCTTCTTGGATTTAGGTTATAATTTGATTTTTTTAAAGTTTACAAAAAAGTAAATAAATTGTGATTGACATATTTAGTGGACGTGTTGTTAAAAATAATAATATCTATTTAAGTGTTAACTACGTATAAAATTTAGTATATGAATACAAATAATTTTATTATTGCATCAAAAGTGTTATACTATATTTCTATTAATAAACAACTAACATGGATATAACTTTTTAATTTCATAATAAATACTAGTTAACATTATTTATTTATTTTTTGTTAAAATAAAATTTTATTAAAAACTTTAACATAATGAATGCAGTTGCACCCATTAAACCTCCCCGTGGAATTAAACCCACCAAAGAAACGGTAAATGTCATACATAGTTATAGTAAAATAATAATATGAAGAATAATCTTGAATTGTTTATATACGTATTACATTTTATAGAGTGGTTTATTAATCTCAGTAATTCGAGCACTATCTGCTTCTGAAACTAATGAACAAAGAGAAATCGAAAAAGCTAAATTGGAAAAAGAATATAAGCGAAGTGATCAGAGATTAGATGAATTAGTTTCATTACACGAGCAAGATCTCACAAAAGTTATGCAAGTAAGTTTATTAAAAATGTACAATAACAATTTTTTATTTAAGGTTTTTCATGTACTTGATACATATATATGTATTAAGATCATTAATATTTTAATCTACTTATACCATCAGTTACAGAACATCCTATATATTTAAAGATTATTTATCGCTTATTTATTTAGATATTTAGTACTCTATCTGAAAGAGTTACTGCTGCAAGAGAAAAAATTCATGCTGTAAAAGAAAATTTACATGCTTGTAAACAGTTATTAAGTTGTAAGCAAGAAGAATTACTTAATCTATGGTTAGAAGGTATAGAACATAAACATGTACTACAACTTTTAGAAGAAGCGTAAGTAACCAAATAATAATTCTTTTATTCTAATTTTAGTAAATGTAACTATTAATGTAAATGTACAGTTAATAATCTGTTAATAGGTCTACTTCGCCAGAGAAATATAATTTAGAGTAAAAAACGTTTAAACAAAATACTATTTTTAAATATCAAAGAACTGAATAAGCAAAATTAATTTGTATATTTATAGTTATATTAGTGGTGATAATTATATATTATCAATATATAGTCTATACACGTATAAAACATTATTGCGAAAAGAAATAATGTTTTTTCGCCGTGTTTTATACCATGTTTTATATCAAGAACTATATGATGTATAAAGGGTCTTATACTTACGCAATATTTTGTTACAACACTGTATATTTTTTTCTTTTTTTCATTTACTTGTATTAACATATCTTGTATATATTATTAGATTTGAAAAATTGACAAGTAGTACAAATTTTCAAATAGATTTAGAAAAAGGTAAACTTGTCAACAAATTTGTTTTATTTATTTTTATTGGAATTTTATATAGAACATTTTCAAAGTGTAACTCGAAACTTTAGGTACAAAAATAGAAAAGAAAATATAATTTAATTTTATTTCTTTAGTGGGACCTCCTATTAAATATAATTTTAAAAAATTCTTATTAAATAAAATGTGGTTTTTTTTTTAAAAAGTATTAGAAATAAGTGTCTTGTATCTAATGGGTTGATATAAAATATATAATTGTATGTGAAAAATCATGTAAATAGCATGAATGTGAAAATGTATAAGTATATGAGTCAGAATAAAGAGAATATAAAAAAATAGAGTTAGATAAATGGAAAACTCCCAATAAAAAGAATTAAACATTTCATACAAGACCTTAGTTTTTTCGTATACGTGATATCTGACATAATATTAAACCTAATCCAGCAAACAACATAGGTAAAGAAATGAAAGATTGTTCCTTTTTTTTAGTAATATTCTACAATAAACAATAATTTTTTATCATTATTATTATACTTATATAACGTTATAAAAAAATATATACGTGGATGAGTTGGAAAATTTTTGTCAAAACTCAAAACTTTTCAACCCACTCTCGTATACACAAAGTGTCCCAGATTTTTTTCTGCAAAATTTTACAATCTTTACCTAGGATTGAACAAAAAAGCTTTTAAAAACCAATGGTAATAAAAAAAAACTGAGACACCCTTATCGTTTACTTTAATATATATACCTTTGGAATTAAAGCGGAACATTCTTCTATAGCTTTCTCCAAATCCTTAACTGCATTAAGATTCTCAGTTATACTTGTGCATAAAATTGTATTAACAGTTATTAAATCACGTGAGTTTATAAAAGTATTATTTATTCCTTTTTTTTCAAGTGTTAATCGAACATAAGCAACACCTACAGATATTAAATCCAATTGTTTCTTATTATTATTCAGCGTTTCAATAATATTTTCATATCTGTAAAATATCATTAATATTGTGTATTACAAACAAAAATTATTTTAAAAAGATGCTATTATCTATATAAAAAAAAAAAAAAAGAAAATACTTTCGCATTATAGGCCATTTTTGGGTAACATTTGATTTTTTCTTAGATGTAAGATTATTAAACAATTCTTTTGCCTGGTTTTCATTAGCACCTATAATTTAAATATTCAAATGTTTAAACTTTCATATTATTTATCTACATATAAGTAGATGAATAGAAAAGTTTTAAGTCAAACATAGAAATAATTTGTTTTCTGTCAAACTCACTTTTATATTTCAAAGAAATAAAAGCTAAAAAATAAATATAAAAAATAAACATAAAATATACCTAATTCTATAAAGTCGTCGACAGTTAGATTATGCAGATCTTTAGTTGATATGTTTCTTTCTTTACAAGACTTTATTAAATGATCAGCATTTAAACTATGTAAAATCATTTGCGTTTGATGATCAAATTTATAATGAATATGATATGTTTCGACGGTACGTTCTTTACACATTTTTGTAATATATTTTTATTGTTTACTTTATGTTTTTTTCTTTATTATAACTTTTGATTATTTAGATATATTGCTTTTTATATTGTTGATAAACAATAGTTTTGTCACTGAAAAAATGCAAACGAGAACTATAAACCTTACGATATTTATTTGTATATATATATGCATGTATGTGGAATGTAAACACATATGACATATATATTTTATATGTCCTCTATTAATATTCTATTTATGTATACATCATATGTACTGGGCATTATATATATGGCATATATATATATATATATATATATATATATCTTACCGCATGAAACGTATACGACTACAGCGACAAAAGTGGATAAAATGTGAACTACAAGTATATTTATCAAAATAAATGATAAATTATGTTTAATATTTTTAAAATTGCAAATGTTGCTTTCGACATTTTTACCAAGGAATAAAATACAATTTTTAATGGTAACATCAATTATTTATAAACAAATTATAAATTTGAGTAAATGTTGTGAAAATATAACGTGTATTTACTAATATCTATATTACATTATGTATAAATAACTTATTAATATTTTACATTATATATTTTATATTCTCATTGATATTATTGCAATATTAGTTTATGTAAAATGCTGATAAAAATCCCATTTATATTTAGTTGTAATAATAATAATAATTAGACGAGTGTTTAACACTTTATCTTACTTCTCATTAGCCATACACAACACACATACCAATTTTAATAGTCTTTTGTTTTTCATTTTTTGTTTTACAAAAAAAATTAATATCACATTTTACAGCATATTACAAAATAATGATCATTGTGATACAATTCTGATATATCTTTTCCTGTAATTAATAATATCATTAAAAGAAAATTAATATTATTTCCAATTATATTATTGTTTATAGAATCGTTATTGTAGCAATAATCCATATAAATTACACATACTACAATTCCTTTAAATGAATACATTAATTTCTCTGAAAAATTATAAGTAAAGTACATATATGTTAAAAAAAAATCTTTTTTTTATACATGTATGATGTTATGTGTATCCTTTTTGTTAAATTAAACAATTTTTAATAACATAATTATTTTTCCCATATAAGGATATACATATTAATGAGGTACTTTTGTTAATATATGTATACTCTCTGAATATCATTGATAAATTTATGTATTCAATAGTTGTCATTTTATCGAGAAAATTGATGAATTGTTTAATAGTTAAATCCATAAAAAAAGGATAAATTTAAAAATATTTTATATAAGAAATATCTGACAGAAAAAATAATGTTTATATAATACAGGTACGATGTGACAAATCTATTGAGACCATCATATGTATCTTTTGCTTTAATAATTATATCAAGATCAACGTAATTTTTAAATAAATGTAGGCAAAGAGAACAAAAAAATTCTAATCGAATTTTTTTTTTTGTAAATATTCAGTTTTTCAATCTACAGATGATTATATGATCGTTATACATATGTTCGCGCATCTATTTCCCAGTCTTTATCATGGTAATATTTAATATACTAATTTTTCTGAGAAATAAAATTGCTTTCTTATATTAAATACTGAATAAAAGCTATAAATATCTAAATTTTCTTTCTATAAAATGAACGTACAACTTATTATTGTAATTCGTCTATGTGTTCTATGATAAATTTACGATTTCTTACAATGAAAATATGTATTGCAAAATTGATTATTTTTTTTTTTTTTTTGAGGTATTTAAAATTTATCTTCATTTCTATTAAAATCTATTTAAAATAATAGTTGTACATTTTTTTTTTAATTTTCTTTTTCTTCAACAGATTTATGATCATTGTATATACGAAAATGATTTTACATGCAAAACAAAAACTCAAATTATGTATTCAAAAATCTTATTTTAAGTTAGTTTCTTTCAGTTAATTTGATAATCAACTAACACATCTACATGTTTTGTTTATTTCTTTCTTCAATAAAAACACGTTCAATTAAAACAATATTTAAAAGACATATCTCCAAGAATTTCAGAATAAAATTTCTGAACTATGGAGATCTACGAATATTCTAAATGGTATTAGTTTAACAGATGATACAAGTTGATTGTTCAGAGGAACGTTCTATAGTACTGAGATTATTATAGTTTTCACGAAATCCAGTTTCTTCGACGCATACAGACGATTCACGCGATCTTTCTTCCTCTAATGGAGTACTAGCAGATGCGTGACTAATGGAAGAATGTCGAGAACGAGATGGATTACCGCGTTGATTATTGTTAACAGTCGGAGCAGGACCAGGCGAAGGATTTTCTGGTATTTGTTCTTGTTCCTGCTTATGTTTACTCAACACTAATTTACATAAAAGCGATGTCTGTCCTTGTATACTTGATATAAATGGTCTATATCCCAAACTATAAAAATAATAAAGATATTTCTTCTATCTTCTTTTTAAAGTTAAATATATTTGACAAACAAATGACTCAAATAATATAATAATTAATTAAATATGTTGACATACCATTCTGATTGGGACCACCTTGTAAGAGTTAAAAGTCCATCTCTTAAATTTGTTATAGATTCAAGGGTTTGCATTGGTGCATGTGCTGCTCGCACAGTTCTTGCCATAGCTGGTGCATCTCTTAAAACCACAGCCAATATTGCTGCCCATCCTAAACAACCACCTTCAAGGAATAATTGTAACAGATATCTAAGTTGTACTTCTGCTCTGCTAACTGGAGCACAATGTGAAGCCACATGAATTTCTGTTGGTTCTATTGGTTCTGAAGAAACCCAACATACTGTACCCACACCAGTTCCCACAATTGACTCAGCATCATCACGCCAGATTGTACTAGCATCACTAATTACGCTACTCGTATCTAAAATGGTAAATTATTCAAATAAATATTATTAATAATTATTGAAATTAATCGATTTGGCATATAAGTGACTCGTGCATATGTTTTTCTTTATATGATATTACCGTGCAACATATTTGGTGTTAGTTTCGCTTCAGTGGCAGGAAATTGTGTTTCTAAGCTAGCAACAGGTGACACCAAACTAGTATAAGGAGGTCTGCCACTAGGTAAACTTGTATATCCACTATCTGGTAAATCAATAGCAAAATTAGGAGTCACTGTTTCATCCTCAGGACTTTCGAGATTCACAGATCTTATTGATCGCAATGATGTCAGACTAGATCTTCGAAACCTTTGTAAATTAGGAAGCGACAAAACTGGATAAGGATATGAAAAATCTTCGTGTACAGCTTTTAATGCAGCGATAAAATCATCAATTTTAGCTGCTCTATCGCGTTCTCTACCAAGCCACGTTACCAAATGAAAATCTAAATGGGCAGCAAATCTTCCCAAATCTAATAATCTCCGAGCTGAAAGTAATCGACGTGCGTGACGCTGTAAGATGACATCAATGAAAAATTCTTCGGCTGAGCTTTCTCTGAAAATGAAATTATAAATAATCGTTATTGCATTAAAAAAAAAACAGTATATATTTTGATTAAGTCATTCTCCACTTACTTGGTATCAGACTTTTCTATTTTAACAGTTGGTACAGATTTTTTTCTTCTCATAACAACATTTCTAGTTTTTTCTAACATAGAGGATGGTGCAATATCTTTAGCCATTGATTCAGATTGTACTTTTGGTGTTGCTGTAGTACTGTAACTACGACTCCTAGACACTTGCATGGTTCCTAATACGAGAGATAAATCATCTTCATGAGGTGATAAAGGAGGGGTTTGTGTGTGTCCTCCTAACTTGGTTGTACCACCCCAAGATGTACGAGGTGACTCAACATCATTTGGATCTTTAAAAAAAATAAATATTTAGTATTTAATTTTTTAAATAAAATTGTTTCTTCTTTTGCTTACCGATAGCTCTTAAAAAGCGAACAAGATCCTTCGAAAGTTCCCATCTTCCTTGTTCCAAAGCAGCATCTAATAGCAGAGTAGCATGTTGTCTGCTAACAGCTGATGGTTCAAGATTTTGTAATATGATTAAATAACTGGCAGCAGTATCAAGTTGTTGTCTTTGTAAACAATCTTGTAAAAGTTTTTTAGGTGGTCCAGCAACGGAAAATAAATATGGCCAAAGTGCTATTTCAGTTTTTCTTGCACACTGCACAACCGCTCTTGCCCATACTCCTGGAAATTCTCGGATGAATTCTACCACAGATGGTAGTTGAGCATCTGGAATTGGTTCTTTACTAGTTGCTTCTTCTTCCAGTACTTCATGAAGTAATAATTCTAAGGAATGTGGGAAGTAAGGCAGTGCAGAACAAGATCGTGCTATTTCCCATGCGTGATATCCTAAATTTCGATGAATTAGTTGACGTAATATTTGATGAAGATAAACTTGACTCTAAAATATTAAAATTGTAAATATATTTATAATCGTTTAAATTAATTTTAATTCAAGTATATAACAATATAAGTAAATATATATATATACATATACATATATATATTTATATACCGTTAATTCCAATAAACTAAAAGGCAGTGAGAATGGAGAATTAGTATCAGATGTAAACAATACAGTGTCATTTTCAGCTCCTAATAAGATTGCATCCTCGAATAATATAGCCAGAGGATAAATGCACAAGTGGAAAGGCAGCATTATTCTTTTACTCATGAATGTATGTGTTTTTTCTTGATGATTTCTTGGAAATAATGGAAGCCAAACACGCATGCCATGAGCACCACAAAACAACCATAATGCTTCAGTTAAATGAGGCTTGTCTCTTCTTGATCGCCATGGTACCCATACATTTTCAACACACGAAGCTAATACCGTAGGAGGACTACACGTAAAAAACTATAAAAAAAATCAAGCGAATTATCAATTTTACAATAATTCTAAACTATTATATTTAATAAATAACTTACGATATCGGGATTATCAGTACAATGCTCACGCTGAACCATCAAAAGTCGTCCAGAAACATTGAGTAATAGACTTTCAGGATGTGGATGACTTCCAGCTGTTTCTGCACGAATTGTTGTTAATGTTGCACTTACAACGCAAGCAGGATGCACGCAAAGTCCACTAATATCCACAGTTTGTATTCTAGTTAATTCAATATCTTCCATTTCTTTAAAAATAATTACATTTTAAAAGTCAGCTTTAACGTCAATTTTATTATCATAATTGTTTAACAACTTTTACCTCCGTGTCCATCCAATAATATATCATAGATACTAATTTGTGCATTAGCACAAAACGTTAGAAGTCTTTCTTTAAGTGTATTAAGTAATAATACTTGAGATGGCATTCTAATACTCTTTACATAATTATTATCGAGTCGTGTATCTCGTGGATACATTCTAATCTCATCTCTATCATCCAAAAGGGAATAACTACTTGCTATCAAAAAACCACGATGCCATAATAATCCACCAGTTACTATGAAATCTCTTTCTTGACTTTCATTTCCAAAAAGTTTCCATTTACGAGATGGTAAGGAATAATGAGCTAAGCCTGTTCTACCAGCTACAGCAATGCTTAACCCTTCGTTGTCAATTGCAGTATACTGTAAAATACAATATAATAAATTAACAGTTAATAATAATAATTTACTAATTAGGAACTTACTCTTATTGGCCAATTGGAACCAGTATAAGCACTTGGAATTGGAACGACTAACCACTGTTTGCATCCGGCAAGAGTCTGAGTTATAATATCACTGGGACTTTCATTCGAAATATGAAAATTTGATGTGGTGGTAGACATACCACCACCAAGATTTAAATAAAGTCTATCTTCACCTTGTAAGTATAAATGTCCATGATGACCCTTTAAAATAAATAAAGAATACAAGTTTATTACAAAAAAATAACTTTTTTATAACTCTAGTTAAAAATTTGATATTACCATACATGGATTAACCGTAAGAGGGCTTTTTACAAAATCTAATTGTATAAGTGAACGCCTTGAGTGTGTCGGTTCATTTCCATTTTCTTCCATTAATAATGGTCCTGGTGATTCTCTCAACATCCATAATTGATAACCTTCCGCTGACCATTCCTAAACAAGTAAGAGAAAAAATAAATAAAATTATGATATATTTCCATTTCAAAATTAATATCAGACTTCATTTACCATTGTATGAATATGTAAAGGATTATCACGTGTCAAATCTACACGTAAACCATAATCCCACTTTAAACTGCATAATAAAAGTGCACCAAAAGTACTCCAGATTGCTAAACCACCACCTTCCCAAGCTAGAGCTATAGCACAACTATCAGGAGTCCATCTTAGACATCTAACGCAACCTGGTTTTCCAGGATAATCTTTTGAAGACAGACTTAACGTATGTGATACTTCCAATGCTCCAGTAGTTTCATCGATATAATAAACAATACCCTCTGAGCTGTTAAAAATATAGTTAAAAAGTTAGATTTTTACAGTATATTATATTAAAGTATATGACACTTACTTTCCTCTTCCAAATGCAATTAAACGATACTTATGATTTACAGCTGCACAAGTAGCATCATCTACATCCTTGGCCCAAATTCCTTGAACTTGCTGAAATATATTTACATGAAATATTATCAACTTACTCTTGAACATAAATTAATTATCAAATATATTTACTAACTAACATTTGGGTCAAATTTTAACGAATGAGCTGTTAAGAATGCTGCTTTCCCAGTGCTAAGAACAATAGCAAATCCACCAACTAAAGGAGAATATTCAATATCCAAAACATAGGCATTGTTTTCAGTAAGTGGTACAGCTGTAGTAGATATTTGTTGGTCTACGCTAAATGGTATTCTACGTAAATCAAGTGTATAGTCTCGATTTACTGTACCATCCCATTTATGCCGTATTACATGACTTGTTTTTGTTGCAACCATAAGTTCATCACGTATACATACTAAAGAACTAATTCCACCATCTATCCAGGCAGACTTTTCCTGGTAATAACAATATATCCATTATCCTTTTTTACAATCATTGCCAATGTGATATTTAATCAATGTACTTACGAAAGATAAAACTAAAGATGGAATAACTTCTTTAATGAAAAGTTCTGCACTATCACGTTTTAGGCTTGTAACAGGAGAATCTCTTTGTTCGTAAAGACTTTTTCCTTCTGGACCTTTGTCTGCTAATCGATAAAACAGTAGATAGCTGTCGGATGTCTATAGAAATAATGAAAAATAATTAATATTAACATATTGGACAATTAATACATTGACAGCCACATCAGTCATCCATTGACAGTCAACATATTAGTATAAAAACTTTAAAGCATACATTACTTACTGCAATAACTAACATACTGGAATCTGGTCTCCATTGTACCAAGATATTTTCTCCGTGCTTTCTCAAAGAATCAGCAGTTCTTCTTATAAATACGATAGGAATACAAGGCTATAAAATAGTTTAATTATTATATTAAAGAAGAAGTCAAATATAACCAAATATGAAATAACATAATGTGTTTACATAATGTCAATATAATTGTCATAATATAATTACAGTTATATCATATATATGTTATTTTATTTAAAAAATTGTACCTTGCAATACCAGATGGTAAGAAAATCTGTCGTTAATATTGCAAATAGTATTTTGTCTCTATTACAAACAATGGCCTTTATTTTATCTGGTTCCGTGCAATTTAGGACTCGCGGCCATCCAATAGGAAAAAACATCTTTTCTAAAAGAGAATTTGATTCTGTTACGTTCACATTTCTTTTTCTTGTTCTTCCTTTTTATGACTTCGTTCAGTAATCCTCACTAATTTAACAAGTAAACATATCCTAACCTTAATATTACGAGCATAGATGCGACAGAAACAGGTCATACTAGGTTACTATACATGCACGAATGCGCAAGAATTTCATCACACAAGTTATTTATTATACGTCGTATAACACATTTGTGTTGTATTAGTATAAATTCGAAAGTACATAAATTTAATTCTCATTTTTACAATTATATATTTTTATTATATATATTTATAATATATAAAATATATGTTATTATATGTTAGGTTGACTGTGGAAAGTTCGTGTCCATTTAAAAAATGTCATTAAAAGGTAACATTTTTTTTTTATTTATATATATATTAGGTATATATATATTTCAATTTAAAAATATGTTTAATAAAATATTATTTATTAATAAATATAAATTAAAATACAATTTCAATATAAATATATGATGTATTTTTTCTTCTTATAACATTATATGTACAAAATAGATTAATAACAATAATATACAAAATTAACATTTACTACAATGTAAAATAAATTTAATACAAATAAAAATTAACGTAAGATTGATCAATTATATAATTAAGTTCTACAAAATTTATAATAATTATACCAAAATCAAATAATATAAATGGCACAATGAATATATTTAACTAGTGTATCGTTAGATATTATATTTAATAAATTAATTCTGCATACCATATTGGATTTAAAAAGTGTTTTTCATAATCGAGCTTTTGTACTTATTTCATTAAATTTTTTCGTATCATACATTCAATACACGTATACATACATAAAGCATACATAAAGTTTTATCATTAAAAGCAAAGGGAGGAAAGAAAATTGACAATACTGAAATATATTTTCCAATTTTTCTATACCATATCACAAGGAGGAATATATAACAATGTTAAGATGTTTTATTTTAAAGATATTTTATAATTTGTCGTTTCTATAATAATATTAATAATAATAATAATAATCCTTTTTAGGGAGGATTGGAGATCATTATTTAACACGGAAAAAGTCATGGCTCATACAGGAGAAAATTTTAACATGCTGGTTCCATAGTAGGTGTGATAGGATTCATTCTAGGTGGTCGGCCAAAGCCACGCGTTCCATCAGGACCGGAAGGCATCCTTGTTACATTTTCAGGTAAGTGTGTCATGATCAATCCATTGTTATTTCTTGATCGGTAAAAGTTATTTTGCTCTGGAATCGAAGAACATAAAGATAGTCTTCTGACTCCTGGATCAAAACCTGAATCTCGACTACAAGAGGATAATCTACGGAAAAATGGGCCACAGTCTACTGAACCTCGACGACTAGGATTGTAACAAGTACCGTTGCACTCGGTGCTAGAAGTTGAACCACCTGAGCAACAGGAAAAACGTCGGTTTTGTTGATAATAATAACCGGGAGGGTAAACTATAGGACAACAGCCAGTTTCAGAACCGGAGGAACAGGAAGAATATCGTCTGCCATAATTGCTGGCATCTGAATTAGAGCCAGAACTTGATGATAAACGGCGAAGAACAAAACCGTTTTCGGATCCTGATATTGAACAGGATGACAATCTGCGCGATAGCCAAGCATCTGGTGACGGTGGACCTGAATGATAAATATTTATATTATAATTTATGAACATATTATTCAATCTTTGATAATCAATAATAATTTACCTTGAAAAGGATGACCAGGGTGACCGGGGTGACCAGGGTGACCAGGGTGACCAGGGTGACCAGGATAAACGTGATATATAGGATATCCATGAACAGGCCTTCTGTATTTTGCTTTTCCATCTTCAGCCTCGGATCCACTGGCGCAACTCGATGAATTATAACTATCTTCTTTAGTCAATTTCGTAACGATTGTCTTCTTCGTCGGTTGTTGTTTTCTTTTCTTATCGGATAACTGTTGTAATTCGAATATTTTTGCATCACCTAAATTCATCTCTAAAGCTAATCTGGCTGAAGCCGAGTCGGTAAATTCAATCATGGCACATTCCTCAGTTGGCTTCAGTTCTTGTCGTTTAGAGATTGCCTGTCGGACCTAAATTAAAAGCGTATTTCAATTAAATTGACTTTTATTTCGATTGAAAATAATTACGGTACCTCTGCAGGTGCAGGATGTCCAGGCTTGAGTACTCTGATAAGTGCGATTTCACCGCATGGTTTAAAGATTTCAGCTACCGATTCAACCGATAGTCTTTCCACGGGAAGCTTAGCAGCTAAAATCGTCCTAGATGGTGTTGTTTGATCGAAAGCTGGCAAAGGATTAATCCTACGTAATTTAGTACCCTGTGGATTAACTTGTAATTTGGAGGATTTAGCCAAAGCAGCACCGACGACCCTCCAATCCTTGGTAAGATGTTTGACTCTTTTAAAACTCGAGACGAGTTTCAACGATACGTAACCCTCTTTATTTCTCTTCACGTGTTTCAAAAGAAATGCATCCTTTACTATACTTTCATCGGCAAAATAAGATTCTACCTGAGCGCAGATTTTCTCGCTTAACTCGTCGTCAGGTAAGACAAAATCATTTGACTGATTTTGAACAGTAAATTCATTATTACTATTCGATGTTACCACTTTCTGTTTGTCCAATTCTTTCTGCCCAACGTCGTCCAAAGAATCAACACCCGAATCTTGTTCGACGTTCTGTTGTTTCATGATAACATCAGTCGATGATTTTCCTTCGCTATCCGAAGTCATACTATCAGATTGATCAGCTTCTTCATCCTTAGAACATCTTCTATCGAAAGACAAACTAATATCGCTGTCGACGGAAGAGATGCTGTCCCTGGTATCAGACTTTTTCATTGGAGGTGGTGAAAACGTCAAATTACCGACCTTATCTCTGGATTCCTGTTGAACTTCTAGCTCATCCATCTTTCTTTCCAAGTTAAATAAAACCCAGTGGAAATATTTGTTCGTATTTTTAAGACTTCACCGAGCCCCAATGATTTCTCATCGAGTTATCCGAGGAGAAAGAAGCCCTTTTAAGAAGACGGATCAAATTCTACGTTGGTTTGTTTTATTTTTCTTTCTTTCTAATGTTAACTAATATTCAATCTCCATTTAATATCAACGTTTAACAACATTATTCCTTGGATATCGTTGCAGAGATCGTGATCGATTAAATTCTTTGAATAACAATCATTGACAAATATCACTTGATGTATGATATATGACCCGAAACAAGAAAAAAAATAGAAATGCAAGTAAAAGAAGAAACGTCGATGGTTTCTTAAAGGAATCTGTGTTCTTACGCGAGCAGTAGCGCGATTTTAAAGGGAGGACACCACGGAGAGGACAACAAGGACAAAATATGAAGGGGCATGGATGATGGATGGATGGATGGATGGATGGAAATTAAGGGAAAAAAAACGAGGAATGATTTTTTCCCTCCCTCGTTCTTAGATGAATGCGTGCCGGTGTATTCGGTTTTGAAAGACAGGGAGGGAGGAAAAGTAAGGGGAACGTTGCGCGATCCGTGACAGTTCGAGCGACAGTGGCCTTCCATAAGATATTTCCACTTGTTTAAATACTTTCGCCCGTTCCCGCGCATGCTCGTATGTGGTCAAATGTGGCAATCCTCCTCCTCGTCGTACCTCGACAAGATGGTCAAGCTACCCTGAGGTCATGACCTTCCTAAATGACAACGAAGAACGGAAGATTTGGTTTCTATCGAAGGCGTCTAACCGAACCTCGATTAGACAAACACATATCTGATATTTTTACAGATTATTTACAGTCGAATACTTTAAATATTAAAAATTTTATCCTAAAATATGATTTTTCTTATAATACAAGAATAATATGATTCGTATAAGTACATTTGTTATATTAATTACACAAAGACCACCGTCAAAATCAATAATTGTAATTGATTGACTAGTTATAGTATTAAAAATGAAATATATAAATGTATAAAGATGATTAAAATATATCGTATAACGGTGAGAATAAATATTTATAATCATCGAATGTAGAGAATCGATTTTTCGTATCTTGCGGAAGCAGGAGGAAAGAGAACACGACAGCAGGAAGGAAAGATGTTTTTATGGTGGTGGTGAACCTTGATAACCTCGAAGAGGCCCCCCGGGCTTATTCACAAACACTTCGCGCATTGCATTCGGACACTACCAGCATAATAATAAATAGGTCAAGTGCGGCCGGTATGGTGTGTATGCCCATACGAGTTGTGAGAAAGGACAGAAAGATACATAAGATTCATCGTACTTTTATCGAAAGGGTTCTTTCTATGGGTTCTTTCCTTCTCCTCTTTCTTTTCTTTTAAACTATTCCATACTCATTCGTATATAACTTTTCATATATTTTATAATATAATATCATATTAATTTTAATTTATATTTCAATTTGTTTTTTTTTATTATTTATATATAAAAATTTGTAGAGTTACATAAATATGTTTAAAAATAAAAAACGAAAGTAGTACGAAAGTTTTATTTGTTACCGAGGGGAATTGTATAATTAATAATTATTTTATAACTAATAATTAATATAATAACATATGAATTTTTTAAATTTAATTTCTATCCTGATTGTAATTGATATAATAATAAAGAGTATTTGTTTTTGAAATACTAATTAAAAGTTTGTATAAAAATACCGCGCGATCCAATAAGTAGTATATAATTTATATTAAATATTATAATAATTAATAATTAAATGAAAAAAAGTTGGCTTTGTCTGATACCATAAATCAACTTATTTGTAATTATATGTTCGTCTTATTAAATAACTCTGTATTTAATATCATAATCTCTATAACTAGAAACCTATATAACGAAGCCCATAAAATGTCTTCACTTTTTTTCTAACTTGTTCTTATTTATATTTCATGTTTGTAATCGATAAGTCATGTTCTTCGTTCATAAATCATATCTTTGAAAAGTAATAAAATTAAACAGAGTCACGTCGTTTGTAAAATACCTGTTCTTCCTTAGAATCATTTTAATAAGTTAAAAGAATGTTTCATATATATATATATATCTATTCGTAAAAGAAGAACAATGTATAAGAAAAATTGGCTTTAACGTTTACGTAAAAGCATTTGACTCATCGATATTGTATTCTTTTCTCCCTCTTATATATGGCTTCTCATGTATTACGCAACAGTTGTTCCGAAATTGATCGAAACTCTCTAAAATGTGAATATCTTTTCTTTGTTCGTCTACAATTTATATTCATCTCATTTTGATTTAAATTATTACGAAAATTTGCATTATTTTATTATCATATAAAATTTCTAACAAAATAATCAAAACATTTATAGTTAATCGTAAAAGTATTTGTACCTGCTCTCTCTCTCTCTCTCTCTCTCTCTCTCTCTCTCTCTCTCTCTCTCACTGTAAATTTTCAATAATTTATATTTATTTTTAACGCAAAGAGAGCTGTAAAATTCTTCTACAAAGGGAAACATATTTTAGAATCATTATAAACTTTCAATTTTATTATTAATTTTAAATTATATTAAATTTAAAATATATTTTATTATATTATATATTATATATTATTAAAATTATTATTATATTATATATATTATATAATTATATAAAATTTAAATTATATTAGTCAACTTTTAAAATTACCGACACATATATACGAAGATGAGTTGAAAAGCCTTAACAAACCAAAACTTTTATTATTTCTTTAAAATAAAAGTGAGCTTGACCAAAAAAATAATTTTCATGTTAAGCTCAAGACTTTTCAACTTACCTACATATATTAAAATTAAATAAACGTCAGAAATAAAATCGAATTTTGTTAATTTAATTAATATTATTTTGTTAAAAATAAATAAACACAAAAATGGTATTAAATTAGAAATTCTCGGAAGTAAAATTGAAGTATTTACGAATAATATAAATTTTTCTCTATTTTGTAGGAATGTCCTTGTAGATATATTTTCTTATTTATTTTTATTCAACAAGGTCTGCATTTATAGTAGACAAGTGCACGAGTTGAATCGTTGAAGGATAGTCCATGAAGATGACCTCGCACTTCACCAGCTCGCATCATTGACTACGCAACCTCCTCTGTCTCGTCGTAATATAATACAATATCCGCCACAAGTATACTTATAGAAATAGACGCAGTCTCGTTGTTAAGTGATCAGAGTCGTTGACCATCTCTACTGTGACTAGTTCGATCACAAATCTTCACGATCTTCGAGGTTGCGTTAACAACAATTCATCTTTATCACAAAATCTAACTTTTTGTATTCCTAATGAAATATTCATTTCCATCAATTAATTCATTTGATGCAACCTATGATATCATACCTTGTCATTCAAATTTTTTTAAGATTTTCTTTTGAGAGTATCTACTCTCAAAATAATAATTAGTATTTTCATGTGCAATCAACTTATGTTATTATTCAAATATCAAATATCATTATGAAACATATTTAATTTATGCATATATTAATCTGAGTCAACAATACGTTTAATTCCAAATTTACAAACTTTATAATAATATAGTATAATATAATAATTAGCAATGTTAATATAATTTATATATAATACTAATGTTAATATATTTATTTTAGATTAATTTATATTATATTTATATATTATATTTTTATATTATATTATATATTATATAATTCATAATTATATATTATATTTATTCACAGTTTACATATATATATATATATATATATATATATATATAAACTTTATAAATATAATATATAGATATTGATAAACGTTAGTAAAGAAACTACGTAACATGTTACAAATTCTTTTTTTATCACTTTTTTTCTCTTTTATTGTTAATACATATGAGGTTCTCTGAGGGCGGCAATTCCCTGCGGCGATTTTCACTACTTCAGGATACAGTCTCTTATTCTCTTTGACGGAGATAGGAGTTACGATCGAAACTAGGTCAGGGCAGCCTACTAAATGACCGAATCAATTTTATTATTAAACTTATCAAATATGGTTCATATCTTTATACTAATTTATTTCAAAGACTGTTAAAACGTTTATTTTCTTAACACGTTCACATTTTTATTCATACTTATCTACATTTATTCAGATTATTAATTAAAATAGTAATTTTTTACCTGTTAAATACAACTAGTTTGTAACTTTATTTGGGTATTACTTAAAAAATATTTTATATGTATATTGTGGACATTAAATATTTGTAATTTGTTTTTTGTTCTAATTACAAATATTTGAGTTTATTTTAGAATATAAATATATTTGTTTTATTTAAAAAAAAAGAATTACTTTATAAGACATACGCATATGCCCATTAATGGAGAACCACTGAAGCTTCGTGAGTCAAGCTAAGTCAGGTACAGAATAAGGCCCTGGGGTGATTCGCCTGGATGACCATGACCATATTACCGGGCAGAGGCCTCCAATACCATCGAACGTATTTAATTCTACCAATTATCTTTGAAACGATTAGTGCTATTTACTTGTAACGTTTATTGCAACTGACTGGGTTTATTTTTTCAAAGAGTCTTAGGAATAAAAATTATTACTATAAAATAACAATAATTATAAATGCATTATTAATGTATATGAATATATTATATGGGTAAACGAGATAATTTTATATTCGCTGAATTATTATTTCTAAACATTGACAAGTTGTAATAAATAATTACATTAGAATGTTCATGAGAGTGTATATGCTAGAAATTAATATGAAATTAATAACATCTTATTAATAAATCTGATTAATTTGTTATATGTTAGATGAATTTGAATATTGCGCATACGTTTTATGTATTTAACACATGAAAGGTAATTAGAATAATTAGCAAATTTTTTAAGTTACCGACCGTTGTATATGCCGATAAGTTACCGACCGTTCTATATGCCGATAAGTTATCAACCGTTGTAAATGTCGATAAGTTACCGATAAGAATTAATACTTTAATATTCCAGAAGATGGCGGGCCAAACACTAATTTTGATTTTCGCGCCATTAATCTTCCTTCTTCCTCAGATCACTTTTTATATCAGTAGTTAATAATCTATTAAAGTTTATTTAATCACATAACAACTATATAAATGTAAGTAACATAATCAAATGAATATATAAATCATTTTTATTAATTTCAAGGTAAGACAATAAATTAACATAGACTGTATTTTTGTTTTAAATACTATTCTCTTTTTCCAATAGGAATTACGACATTATATACACGATAGACAAGAATTAATTATCACATGACATGCAGGTCCGTACACTTAAATTCAAATCATAATGCAAAATAAGTACTAACATAGATATTAAATTTATCTAACAATAATACAAATTATTTTAGAATTATTATCTTTGAATAAAACGAAAAAATTCAAACAGATAGAAAAATTATAATAATAAAATTAAATAGAAAGATAATAAAAATAAATAATGGACAATTAATAGTGCATTTTTCTATTGAAAAAGAATATGCAATAAAGTATGCTTTATGTAAAAAAAAAAAAAAGCAAAACAAATATATTGTCTGGCGAGATAAAAAAAATTTTATAATTGAAAAATAAAGTGGAGATTGTGAAAAGAAATTGGGTGAAAATAAAGTAAAAAAAAAGGAATATAAAAAAGAAGAAAAAGAAGACAGATGGAGAGAGTGTTCAGTGGTGTGTATCATATATAATTAGTGTTACATGATGCATTTACCTAGCGTGCACGCACAAGGTAGTATAGTGTCAAGGGTCAGTCAAAGAGAGATACGAGTAAGAAATAGTATCAAGGGAGGACGAATGAGAGTCAGTGCTGTTAAAGATAGAAAGAGATAAAGTGAGATAGTGGAAAAAAAAGATAAAACAAGAAAAAGAGAGAGAGAGAGAAAGGGAAAGGGAAAGGAAAAGAGAGATAGAGATAGTGTATAGATATAGAAAAAGAAGGGAGAGGATAGTGGGGCGGAAATTGATGTGGGTTTTATAAGTGCGGTGATTTCATACGCCTACCTTTCCAAGTAACCCATTTTATCTCTGTCTCGTTCTACCATCTCAGTTTTCAGTGTCTTTCGTTTAGTGGTATCCGCTTAGCGGATAGATGTCATATCCATGAGCCAGGTTGCCTTCTTGAAAGGTGCATGTCTACATTCCATGTGTCGACACGCTGCATTTCCGCGGCTAAAATCGCAAGCGCATACGGCGATAGATCGTACTAAGAGAAAACTCGTTTACAGCGCAGGTACTACACGGATACGACGATTTTAGAATCGGTCTCTAAACTAGAGAAAGAAGAGGAAGAAGAAGAGAACGACGCGATTATGTGTGTCATGAAATTGGAACGTAGTAGCTTATAAAAGCTTTATACTTGATTAAATGGACGTAGATGTAGAATGTTCAATATGACGTAGCTTATTTAAAAAGATATTCAAAAAGCCTCGGTGCGCAATGCGACATTTACGTAAAATATATTGGCTATTTTGGGTGGGTCTACCAACACTCACAGCATATCCTCTATCAACGCCGTATTTAACAGGTGAAATTAATTATATTTCAAAGTTTACATGAATTTCATTACAATCTTTAATCATTATACTTTTTTATTACATTGACAGATTCGCAAAACGATCAAGAATCATTACAATGGGAACGTTATTGGATAAGATATACGGTTACTCTTTTGAGTTTAACCATTGCTGCTTTTGCTATCATTGGATGTTTATGCTGCAGAAGACCAAGGCGTACTATTGGATTTCAGGTAATGTTTCTTCTTCTTCTTCTTCTTAGTTTTACTATTTAATATCTGTTGAAAATGTTAAGAAAATTTCTTTTGGATATAGTCTTAACATTACTTTTTGAATCTGTTTTTCTTATAGGACAAAGCAGGAAAATGTAAACAGGTAATTTTACAAAATGCAGGCTTCTCATATAATAGTTTGTGTATGTTTATTAGAAGCTATTCTTCTAGGTCTTCTTATGAACTGCTTTGGACTGTATTAGTAAGAAATCAAATTATCATTTAGAAAAGAATAATATTTCATAAGCGATATGTTATGTTTGCAATGCGCTTGTGTTTATTAATAAACACAATGTAAATCTAAATTCATTTAATTATTGTTATTATGATTTACATGTATTTAGTAAATACCCCTAGGATGGCTAACTATACTTTTTGGTAGTATTTAGGAATTATCAAGCTATATTTATACTTAAAATAATATTATTTTATTGACACTCTATGCTGAATTATTTTTATAGAATGCATACGTAGGAGAAATGATTTGCTTATCAATGCATTTTAAATTCTTTTTCATATTCGATCATTGTATATGTTTCAAATCACATTTAAACATAATATACGAGTTAGAATTCATTAGAAAATATTAAATTAATCATTGAATCAGTAATATGCATAATAATTTACATTTCATATGCGTATAGCATAATTATCTTCTTATTATGATATTTAACAAAATTTGATAAATACAAAATAATAACAAAACATTTTAATTTCAGGAATTCAAGAATGGAAGCAGCACAGGCCCAGAGTTACCATTTGAACAATCAGTAGAAGGTTTAGCGATAGATGTTCCACGAATGATAGCATTGACAGACAGAGTACAATTTGAACCTCTACCAGTTGACCGAATTGTATCAGGACCAAAGGTTCCTTCTCCAACAAAACCATCTTCCATTTCACATTTATCTTTTACGGGAGAATTTAATGAAGATAATGCTATGTTACAAAAGCCTTGTAAGGAATGGTTCGAAGCTGAAGATCTTTATGTACCTAGAGAAAAATTAAAATATTTAAGAGAACTAGGACGTGGTTGGTTTGGCAAAGTTGTAGAAGGTCGTGCAGATTTAGATCAATCGAAAGGAGCATTGAAAAATGGTGGGGTTGTTGTAAGAATTTTGGCAGAAGAAGCTACGATGAAAGAGAAAGCTTGGTTCCTAGGAGAAGCTACACCATATCTTAAATTACACCATCAAAATGTTTTAGCATTACTTGGTTTTTGTTTAGAAACTGATCCATATTTATTATTATTTGAGTCTTGTCCTGCTGGTGATCTTAAAGGATTTTTATTATCAAATCATGATAAAAAATCTCAAGAAGCATTATTAAAAGAAAATGTTCCCACTAGAATGGCATTGGAAATAGCTGCTGGTTTACAACATATGCACAATCATGGTTTTGCTCATACCGATTTATCGGCAAGAAATTGTTTGGTTGCTCCAGATTTATCTGCAAAATTAGGAGATTATGGAACTGGTGTTGAAAAATATCCTGAGGATTATTACATTGTTGGAGATCGTGCTTTACCTATTAGATGGTCCGCACCTGAGAGTTTAGACTGTACTGATACTACTATTGAAACTCGTCAAATTACATTACAAGCAAACATATGGAATTATGCTGTACTCTTATGGGAAATTATTAACTGGGGTAATAGACCTTATGATAATATGTGCGACGAGGAAGTTATACAAATGCTTTTATCTCTTAAAACTGATTTTTCACTAAACAATGTGCAACCATTGCATAACTGTCCTGAAAATAGTCCCTCCAATATATTACACGTAATACGCACATGTCTAAATACAGATGCAAAAAAGAGGCCTTCTTTAAATGACATAAGACAAAATTTACTTACCGAACATATAGAACAAGAAGATTTTGAACAATGGGAAAATTTACAACAAACAAATACATCAATTAATCATACACGAAGTGCTAGTTTACAAAATCTTCGTGGCAGTATTGATTCTGATCATTGGACAAGTGTGATCAATGAGAAACCATTAGAAACATTACAATCTTCTTTTCGACTTGGACCAGATGAACCGGTTAAAAATGTTATGAAAGTGGACAATTTATTTAATACAACACAAGAATCAGGATCTGAAACTGAAGAAGAAAGTTGGAGAGGTAGAATCGAACGAGGAGTTTATACAGAAAAAGTTAAACAAAAATCTAAATCGGTAACTGATCTTATGGTACTCGTACATATTGATCCAGAATCAGATGGGGAATTATCTATGGGTACACAAATGACAGAGAAAACTATTAAGAAAAGATTATCCACCACTGGTAGTGATAGTGATCTAACACGTAACATGATTGTGGATGAATTTGACGAAGCATTAAGAAAATTAAGAAATCCTATACAAGGTGGTGATGTATCTAATAAAACTAATAAATCAATAAACAATTTAGAAAAACCAAAACTTCTGACATTAACTATGGATCAGGAACAAACACCGATCCTAAGGTTATCATTGGATTCTAAAGAAGATTCTATTGTTAGTAATAATCTTTCTGTTTTAAATACAAGTGCAGACAGTGTACGTAGCGAAGAACATATATTAAGATTATTATCAAAAGGTGATCCAAATCTTCCTCTTCTTCGTTATGTTCCTGATTGCAAATCTTCTTGTGTAGTTTTGGAGGATAAAAGTGAAACTCAATCTGATAACACTACTATTAATAATGAAAATAATGAATCTTGTTTTTCTAACAATTTCTCATTTCAAAACCTTGATACTAATCAGAATAATTTGGTAGACGTTCTTCTTTGGAATCATGCGCTTGATTCAGCATTGGAACACAAAATACCAGGATTTTCAGATGAAGGTGAATTTAAGGAATTCATAGAACCTACTGTAAATCAAGAGAATAATGCTACTTTGGAACTTTCTATGTCTACTAATGTTGCAGAAGATAATGAACAATTTGATAAAGAAAATTCTGTCTACAACCTTAATGATTTATCAAATACTGAAGATATAGGAATCGTTCGTAAAGTTTTGATTAATGAATACGAAGAAAGAAAACATTTATCTACACCTGATGATGAACAAAGTTCAGATTCTGGTTTTAGAGACAAAGAATCTTGCGAAGAGGAAGAAAGTATGTGTCCACCTTGTGATCAAACGAGTTCTCATGACAACACATCTGTTACACATGTGCCTACAACTGAAGATGAACAGCTACAAGTTTTATTAGAACTCGATACTATTTTAGATGCTGAATATTATTCAGTACTTCCTGAATCTGATAATTCTGTAGTAACGAATGACACAAACAATAAAACAAAATATGAAAATTCAAATATAACAGATATAGAAGGTCAAAATACCAATAGTATTTTATCAAATGAAATTACTACAAACACATATGTAGAACAAGATGAAGAAATTGGCACTCAATATTTAAATAAGGATGATCTTATGGAAGATGAAGATCTAAAACTCACAAGTAATATACAAAATGGTGATCTTATAGCATCTAGTGATTATTATGACGATACAAATAGTTATGTAACCAAAAATTCCAAAGAAAGCAACATTTCTTCCCTTGATACAAATATAAGAAGTAATACTGATGAAGGTACAGAAAATTATATACAAGATGAAAATGGACATGAAAATGAGGAGGAAGATAGCTCAACTATGAGCATGTGTAGCGACAACTCTTATGTATCTTTTGGCATGGAAGAAGAATTTGTCACGGCAATTAGAAATGAGCTTAGAGAAAAACTTCCACGTGCACAAATGCCTATAGTGGAACCGTCCGAACCACGTGATGAAGAAATTTCTTCTATTACCAGCGATATTGAAAATAAACGTTGGGACGATGATGATAATGAAGAATCTCCAGATCGAAGTACTAGCAGTATAGATATTTCTATCAGGTAAATTAAAATATTTATATTAATTATTAAAAATATAATCAAATTTACATTTGCAATATATTTTCTGTTTAGATATAATCTTTATGGAACACCGTTAAGTCCTATTTTAGAAGAACGAGAAAGCACCGCAACTTCTGAGTCTTTATTATCAAATTCAAGAGATGCATCTATTGTATCTAAAGAATCAGTACCATCTGAAGATGTTTTGTTAGTTGATACTAGAACAAATAAAATGATATTGTTAGAGGGATCAAGAGAAAAACAATTACAAGATGATGATCATGATACAACTAATGGAGACATTTCTGAAGAAGAAAATGTTGAATATAGTTCATCATCGATGCATACATTCGATGATAAACCTCATGCTATGATTGCAATTGGAGGAGCACCATTACCAAGTCCTGAAGAAGAAACCAAATGGCAACAATTACCTTCTTCTTTTCCATTACCTTTACCTTTACCTTTACAAGATGATTTAATGTCTACAAGTTTTGCTACAGAACGTGATTGGGATAGTCAAGACGATGATGAAGTAGGAGACGAAGAAGGGGAAGATGAGGACAACAGCTCTAGCTCAGGTGAATTTGTTTGGAAGGTATGTACATTTTTTTTATTGTATTTATCTTAATGTATAACTTATGTTAATACGATTTGCATTATTACAGAGATACAGTGAACCACATGCGGAACAATTACAAATCAGAAGTACTATGAGCAATGAAAAATTAGAAGTAGAACAGAATGACAATGCAAAAGAAGAGGTTGTTGATGCAGAAGACGAAGAAGAAGAAGAATTTACACCATCTGCTTGGAATGCAACATTAGCACCACATAGGTCTGCATTAAGGTCTCCAGATAAAACATTAAAAAGCGGAGTAAGTAATACACATTATTGAAACTACTACTAACATAAATAAACGAAAGCCATTAGATAATATTTTACACCAAAATATTATTCTTCTTTCTTACATCTGCTGCTAGGACGAATTGGTAGGTGTGTCAATCATTTAAACACAGAACAAAGCATGTCTTTTAATCTCCTTCTCGTGATCCTTTCTCTTGCAGATTTAATTTGAGGTATTTAGCGCATATACTTATTTGCTACACATGCTAGTCTTGTACTAAATATAGACGTAATTTAATAACATTTTCAATTTCTACAATTTTACCAATGATATCAATTATTTAGGATCAAAAGAAGAGTGTATGGTTCAAGAAACAACGCTATCATTGTGTATATGAGTATCCAAAAGAAACATTAGCTAATGACATCCAAGGTACAGCTACCACCACTACATGGGAACCAACTTCGTATACAGGTAAATTTTGATTAGACAAAATATTCAAATATCTTTGGATCTATTGAAACAATGGAATTTTACAGATTGGGAGGAACTAATGAATGAGCCAAGATTAGATATGTATTCTTTGGATTATGAAGATATAAATCGAGCTGGTATTTATATATAAAATGAATTATCTGAACGATTTAACTTTTACTCAAGAAAGAATTTTTTTTTTATAGGTAATGAAGAATTTTATGTGAGTAGTTCAAATCGTCCATTTCAATTTCCAACCAGCGATAGTAAATATGTTAGTCAATTCTTTCCTGGTGCTTGTTCTACATCATTAAATGTGGAAGAACAAGATGAAGTGGATTGTAATCAGGAAGAAGAAAATACTAATAACCAGACAACAAATGAGCATGAACATTTTAAACAATATCAATTAGGAGAATTAAGGCATACGAGAGATCGCCTAAAATTAAATTTATTAGCAGGAAATAATACAGTAGATACTACTTTCGTTCCTCTAAAACAAGTATATGAAAATAATAAGGAAGATCTATCAAGAATTGAAAAAACGCATACATTAGATTTGTTGGAAAATATGAAAGTAACAACGGAAGACCAATGTAATTTGTCAAATTTGGTAGATGACAATACTTTGCCAAAGGTGCCTCAAGAGGATTTTCAATGTGAAGTGGATGATAATGATCCAGTTACGTCAAAAATTTATCCAAAAAATGACAATGAAAGGAAAATTGAATCAGCTAAAAGTGTAGCGTTCTAACACTTGACTGAAGAAGAAGTAAATTAATGGTGCACAATGATATTTTGAGGAAATCAGTTTAATTGAAGTCCGTCCGAAACAATTCATTGTGGAAGTGCAGTGGTAATTGGTGCCGAGGAGATTGATATTATTGCAATATCGATATTTTATGACTGTATATATAAAAAAATTAGTATTAAAATGTAAATGTAACAAAAGTAATGTACAGTATATACCAATGAGTTTTTTGGATTGATTCGGATATTGGATGCTACGAAGATAAAAAAAAACAACAGAATTATATGGTTACAAGTAATCATTACTGTGACTATAAACTCTGCCAAATGATGTAGAAAAACTGAAAGTACTGTAATATTTGAGCAGTGGACAGCTCTTTAAGCCTTTCATTCATCGAACAATTTTGTGCCTATTTTATAAGTACTATTTCTATTCGTTTCAGTCTTGACACCACAGGCTTTAAATTTTAATAATAAAAAGTAGTAACATTTCAAAATAATGATGATAGTCAATAAAGGGCTATTCAGTGCTTATGTACAGTATATATATATATATATGAATCATTTGCATAATTAAAAACGAGTGTTATATAATGAAATTGATATTTAAATTCAAGATTTTGTGCAATAATGATCATGTGTAGTTAACAAATGGCTGAACATAGTTTGTTATTAAAAAACATTTTATTAGAATTTATCAATATATGTAGTTGCATGATTGCATACACATGATGTACAAAGAAAAAAAAAATGTGTTATAATATGTTTATAAGGTGCTCTAGCATAATATCAAATATGTTGCACAATCTAAAATTACTGACTTTATCTACAGTACATTTCGTATTTAGCAACAAATTTGTTTATGCTATGACAAAACTATTATAAGTAACTTTGTAATACATGTAAATATTTATATATTTAGATGATAATCTATTAGTTGATTAATTGATATAACATAAATCTTGTGTTGCCAATATTTTGATAATACATGATTTATTTATCATTAATCATATTTAATAATACAAATGATCAAAATGTTGAATATTTAATTAATCAACCAATAGATGATAATAATCTTTACCAACAGTAGCAGCCTAATTAAAATTTCGCTACACACACTTTACCCAGTCAATCACGATCAATGCTCATTTAACTATTTACTGTATCACTTTTATGTTTTTTCTTGATATTATTAATTATAGGTAAAAGCATTTGTTTTAAGCATCACAGCATTGCAAAAAAGAATTCTACCATGACTTAATGCTTATTTTTAGCAACCGCAAAATGTTATTTGACAAATCAGTTTATACGAGGCAACGTGATAGTGTTAATCTCTATGTATTGTTAATAGATCTGTGATGAGAACGAAATATATAGTTGTATTTCGGTCAATTTTGTAACGAATCTCTGAAAAAGTATTGCATAAAGTGTAAATGAATAGTAAACTATTTTAGGTGAAAAACATTTTTTGAGGGATCTTGTCGTCCTTTGCTTATTTTCTTTTGTATATATATATAATTACAATGTTTAAAAATAAATTATCTACTATACTCTAAGTTTTTCACTATTTTTCAGTTTAGTTGTACATTTTAACAATGTACATAAATATTTTTACGATATATATATATATATATATATATATATATATATATACATATAACTATTAATACTTATTTAGCAAGCAATAAAATTGCTCATTCACCTATCAGTTTTTATATATTATAATATATTAATAATTAAATACAAAAACCAAAATATTAATTGAATAATGACTACAAATGTCGTTGATGATTACGCCATAAAATAATAAGTCCTTGATGATCCGCAGATGCGAGAAAAGATTCGTCATAATTAAATGAAAGTGTTAGTACAGGTCTTGTATGACCATGGAGTAGATTTACTCTTGCAGCTTTACCATCCTTTGAAGAATCAAAAAGATGAATTGCACAATCTTCTGAACCAGTTGCTATTAAACAAGCTCCCATTTGAGGACAAAACGTAGACTTTATACAATGAAGTCTGTAAATTAATATAATAATTAATACGATTATTTTGAGACTAAAGAAAAAAAGCACTTAAGAAAATAATACCTGTGTTTAATAGGATATTTTTTTAACAATGTCAAAGAACCCTGATTATCTTCTACACGATACAATAATACTGCATTGCATGCAGTACTTGCCAAAAATACTGGATATGGCATTTCTTTTGAATGCCAAGAACGCCAAGAGAGTCCTGTTACCATACCATTTAATTTCTGTACTCTTTGCAATTTATAAAGTCTTCCTCTCCTAGGCTCGAATTGTAATGAAGTAATGGTACCTCTATCGCTTCCAGCCCATATCAATGAACCACCACTTTCTTCACACGTTAATGATAAAACCTTCAATAAAAATAATGAAAAAGTATATAAACGTTGAGTAATTCCAGAAAAAAACGTAAAAATATTATACCTTTTCCCCAAGTTTACATGAACCACCACGTGTATAGATTCCTGTTGATACATTTAAAATTTGAATGAGCCCGTGTGAATTACCCGTTACTACTAAATTATTATTAGCAGGTATAAACGCACAACAAAAGATTTCTGCATTTTGTGGATCTTTAACCACTCGTAAACACTTAGGTTCTACTTGTACTTTCCAAAGACGAATAGTAGCATCTAATGATGATGATACTATCAAATCATTACTAATACTCCAATCGAATGCAGTAACTCCTTTCTGATGACCTTCAAGTACAACTAGTACTTGGGGTGGTGTATTAATAACTTCACATATAGATAAAGTTCCATCTAAAGATGCACAACCTAATCTGGACCTATCGTTATTCGCAAATTTAAGCATTATCACAGCTGCAGTATGTTGATCAAAAACATGATGAACACCAGTAAAAGCAAAATTTTCTGCGGTTGATTTTTTTGGAACAAAATTAGATTTTGGTAAATTATCTGACGTTTCCTTTTGTAAAGTATTATTTGTAATATTAGTTTGTTCAATATTATCTCCGTATCGTTTATTTAATAAATCTAAACGTAATTTTAAATATTGTGTACGAATATCATGTTCTTTAAATGGTTTTTCTCTTAATAATTGATTTCTTCTACGAATATAAAGCATACCTATAATTTATAAGAAAAAACATTAGCTGATACGTAAAATATTGTATCATTTATTTAAAATAATAGAACTTATAGATAATACTCACCTAATGTTGGTAATTTACTTGCACGTTGTGTATTATATTTTGCATCTAGTGCAAGCACTTGTTGATGCCACGTACTATACATTTTACTTGTTGGAATAAAATGTTTATAAGCTGATTGTATTTCAGTCATTAGAACATATTAACGTGGAAGACTAATGTATAATAATGACGTTTCTTAATGACATTTAATTACGCACTCAATCAAAAATCTCACCATTGAGGTTATGTATTATGCCATTGAATTATATTTATATTCAACTTTCTTAAAATTATAAATCAAACGTAAACATTTATTAAAAGCCATAAGAATGACCTTAAAATCAACTTTTTTAAGAATTATTAATTACAAATAATACTAAACTCTTAAATCTAATCAGATGTTTTGACGTATTGGAATGTTTACCATTTGTTTTCGACCATCTTCAATTACCTGCATGCAGGTAATTATGACAATGGCGGACAAAATCAAAACATTGCAAATATTCATTTTATAATTTATTTTATAATATAAATCATTGTTATATATATAATGAATCATAAAATGATTTCTTTTTAATTGTCTAACTTGATTCATTATTATAATAGTTATGTATATATATTTTACATACACTACCTGATTCAATTGGATTCTGTAATTGTCATGCAATTCTTGAAATTATTAAAAAATCATGTAAAAAAATAATTTGTAATTATGTACTCAAGTATACATAACTAATTTATTATGAAATTAAAAATGAAGACAGATATTTCAATGATCCTAACATTAAACGATCCCCCATTTGTTTGTATAATTGATTAGAATTAATTATAAAACAAAAGGATAGAAAAAAAAGAAAATATATATGTAAATATTAATAAGATTGTCTCTAAAAAAAATTGTATACATTTGTTTTGGGGATCTTATGAAAAAGGCAAACATTATAGACAATATATTGCAACAGTCCGTTATAGCTTTTATTCTTGACTGCTGCGAAACATGGTCATTTATATTATATCCTTTTAATTGCATTATCGAATAATAACAGGAATAATAGTTTACACAAAGGTGTACTGTTTCAATTACTATTATTTAAAGGATAAATATATTAATATGCTCACAGAATTTTACAAGTTCTCGATTAGTGAGGCTATTAATAATCCGATGCCTTTATGGGTGTGTTGTGTTCCTTAGTATATTTATAAATCGTAAAGAATGCACAAAATACTACTTAGTCGTACTTAGTACTGATAAAATTATAAAGTTCAAAATGTCTTCCAAGCACAGCAGGTACTTGAATTACAAGATTTCTTTAATACATTTATTCTTATATATTCATATTTATACACAGTAGTAGCTATTATTATTATTTGTAATAATTATATAATAGTTAGCAATAGTGGCGTAATGCATTTTGCATTCTCGATCGATCGGTTAATATTTGACAAAAATACAAAAATTATGAATTGTATAATAATTATTACGAGAACAAACGTGCTTACTCTGAAGTTTATCCTTCTTTATTTATTTATTTATTTTTATTTATTTATTATTTATTTATTTATTATTTTTTTTTGTAATGTTTTTTGTTCTTTTATTTTTTTTTTATATATATGTTTAATCGTTTTTAGTTGTTTCTTTTTCTTTTCTTTTTTTTTTTTCGTCTCTTCCATAACAATATTCCATCTTCTTCTTCTTCTTTCTTTCTTTTTTTATCATTTTTTTTTCATTATACATCACATTTATTGTATTTCATCCTAAGTTCGTATCGTGTGTACAGTAAAGAAAAA